GAGAGGAGAGAGAAAGAATGGAAGAGGGAGAGAGAAAAAGAAAGGAGGGGAGAGAAAGATGGGGAGGGGGAGAGAGAGGCAGAGGTGAGAGAGAAGGAAGGAAAAAGTAAAGAGGGAGGGAGATACAGAGAAATGAAAGTGAAAGTAAAAGAGATGGGGAGAGAGGAAAGAGAGAGGGGGAGGCAGAGAGGGAAAGAGAAAGAAAAGAGAAAGGAGGGGAAAAGGGGAGGGAGAAAGAAAGGGAGAGAGAGAAGAAGGAAAAAGAGGGTGAGAAAAGAAAGAGGGAGAGGATAGAAGGGGGAAGTGATGGGGGAGAAAGAAAGGAAGGTAAAAGGAAAAGAGTCTGGATCTAGGGAGAAGAGAGGGAGAGGAAAGTGAAAGGATGGAAGAGAGAGAAAAAGGAGGAAGAAAGATGGGATGGGGAGGGAGATAGAGGTAGAAGAGAGAAGGAGAAAAAGAGGAAAGAAAGGAAAAGGGAGAAGAGAAGAGAAAGAAAGGGAGGGAGGTAGATACAGAGGAAGAAAAGAGAAAGGAGAGGGAAAGAGGAAGCGAGAGAGAGAAAGAGGAAGGAAAGAGGAGAAGGGGAGAGAAAAAAGAAAGGGAGAGGATAGGGGGAGGAAAGTGATAGAGGAGGGGGCAGAAAGAAAGGAAGGTGAAAGGAAAAGAGAGTCTAGAGACAGAGAGGAGAAGAGAGGGAGAGGAAAGAGAAAGAATGGAAGAGAGAAAAAGAAAGGGTAGAGAAAGATGGGGAGGGGGAGGAAGGCAGAGGTGAGAGAGGAGAGAAAAGAGGAAAGAGAAAGGAAAAGGGAGAAGAGAGGAGAAAGAAAGGGAGGGAGGTAGATACAGAAGAAGAAAAGAGAAAGGAGGGGGAAAGAGGGAAAGAGAAAGAAAAAGGAAAAGGGAGAGGGGGATGAGAGAGGAGAGAGGGAGAAGAGGGAGAGGTGTGTACACACAGCTGTGGCGTCCACACTTGGCACACGCACTTTGCCAGTGATGCCTGTTCTTCGGCTGGAGGCCACGTTCATTGGAAAGAAAGGAGGCAATGAGGGGTGGGAAGCCCTAGATGTCTGGGCTCTCATTGGTGTTCAGAGGGTCGGCAGAGCCTGGTCGGGGCGTATGGACAGGCTGCTGTGGTGTGAGGGCAGAGGCCCGGGGCTGTATCCTCTCTCGGCTTCAGGTCTGCTCGTCTGGCCAGTGCCGGCCTTCCACTGAAGGATGAACACTGAGCATGCAGCGGGGCCACTGGACTCGCTCGACCCCTCTTCCTGTTTGCCTGCATGGTGGTGGCCCAAGCATCCTCACTGGCCGTGGGCAGCATCCTTTGCTCTTCTCTTATTCTCTCTTGTGCGTGTTCCCTCTCATTCTGTCATGGTCAGTGGTGTTCTTCAGTCTCCACATGGAGCTCTTTTCCCCTCCCGTTATTGCCTGTAGAGCTTTCCAGATTTCCTTTTCTACCTCATGCTGGCTGAGGCTAATTATGGCATCTGAATAATCCATCGTACTAATTGACCACCCTTTAATCCTCCATCCATCTGCCATCTAGGTGGCTTCCCATCCAGGGCACTCCCTGTGAGTAGTGTTGGTGCTAAGAGCAGGTTGCAGCTCTTTGTTTCGGGTAATATGCTTAGGTCGTGGTCCCAGCCTTGGAATTCTTGGATTAGTGGGCCCAACAGGTCTGCTAACTATGACTCCCCTCCAAATTCTGCCCATTTGCCAACTAACTCCAGGTTGGTTTTTGTCTCAGCTAAACTCAAAGTTTGGCGGGGTGGAGGGTGACGAGGACAGTGGCCGACATCTAGGACCATATCATGGGGGGGATGGAGGGCACTTGCAGTCAGGACTCTGTTCTCATGTGTTGGTGTTAGTTCTTGCCATGTCTTAAACACGACACCCTTCTTGGAGATAATCGGTGTAATGATTTTTCCTAATGTCCTCTTTCTCTTCTTGTCCTTGTTTAGGGCTGTGCAGTCTTTCCCATTTCATCTCATGGATCTCACCTGCTTTATCTTTTGAGATCTCCCTCGCTCTTGTTTGCTTAATAACTTAGTCACAGATGTCAAAGGTGCCTTGTCCGTTTATCTCCTCATTGTTATATGGGCCTATGGTCACTCTTCAGGCAGTGTGTTCATCTGGAGCGTGGGATGGTCTGTGGGGTAAGATGCTGGTCTGACTCTGATTTCTGCCAGATTGCTCCCTAGATTTGCTAGGAGCTCTTTTCTTTTCTCTCTCTCTCTCTCTCTCTCTCTCTCTCTCTCTCTCTCTTTTTGGTGAGGCAATTGGGATTAAGTGACTTGCTCAGAGTCACACAGCTAGTTAATTTTATGTGTCTGAGGCCAGATTTGAACTCAGGTCCTCTGGGCTCCAGGGCTGGTGCTCTATCTGCTGCACCACCCAGCTGCCCCTAGGAGCTTTTTTCACATGAGGTCTTCCCCAAGTCGTGTGTGACCTTGGGTTTTCTGAAGACTGGGTTATTGGGTTCCGGTTGCCTGATAATTTTTCCTAGGCTGTATTTATTTGTGTAGGAACCTCTCATCTCCCCCTTTAGGATGTATATTAGACGTGAGGAGGGACAGTTTCGGGCTTGGCGCTTGGGACCTTTGACCTGGCGCAGTGCCTGACCACGCAGGAACTTGATAAGTACTTGGCGATCCATTGTTGGTGGTTTTGATGACTCTCGTTCTGGAGGGTAATTGCAGGGGTGTGAGCATGGCTCCCCTTTGTTCTTTCTTTCCCCGTGGGTGTAGATCTCTGGTTCAGCTTTGGGATGCCTCAGTTGGGTTTTAATGCTGCATTTTCCTGGAGCAGTGGCTTGCTGCTGTGGACCTCCTCATTCCCCTTCTTCCACAAGCTTTTGAAGCGTGTCGGGGGCTGGGGTGACGATAGCAAAGACGAGCCTGGCTGGGCCTGCCCGTGAGAACCTTAGGCTTCTCGGGGTGATGCGTATTGCACAGACAGGCGGTAGGTGCTGTGATGCCTGTAGCTGGTAAGGCAGCAGTTTTCAGGTTTCTCAGGAATTTGGGCAGAAGCCCTGAAAACGGCAAGTTGGTGCTGCCGCCGCTGTGGGTCACGTGTCATGCAAATGGAATGTTTGTGTTCTCTAGCAGGTTTTTAATGGACATCACTGCCCCCTCCCTCCTCGAGCTCCAGACCCAAGGGGCTACTCCTTCTGGCCCATCCCAGGCAGGGCTGTCCACCAGTCAGTCAGTGGGTCAGTTGGCAAACATTCGGAAACACCTACTGTGTGCCAGGCAGCGTGCCAAGGACAGGGGTACAAAGGAAGGCAGAAGCACAGTGCCTGCCCTCCAGAGCTCATGTTCTGATGCAGAGGTGACCTGCCAGAATGCCCCGTCAGTATGGAGAAGGACTCATTCAAGGAACGCTGTGCTCCGGGCCTGGCAGGCCCGACAGGAGGCTCCTTCCTAAGTGTCCGCCTGTGTCTCTCCGGGACAGGAAGGCGCACAGGGCACGGGGCACCCTGGGGGCTCTCCCGCCGTCCCTCCCCTGCTGCCCGTGGCCCGGGCGTGTGTGTCCCCTGCTCGCCCCTCCTGTGGCCCCTCAGACACGTGCTGGAGGTGGGAGGAGCGGGACCCCAAGCACTCACTGTTAGAGTGAGCTCTTCCAGGGCGATGCCTCCTCGGGTGGGCTTCCCAGCCCCTGATGGACGGGAGCCTGTCCCAGAGCGAGCCCCCTGGCGCCAGGGGGAGATGAGGGCATCGAGTGCCGGCGAAGGAGGCACAGTACATAGAGCGCCGTGCTTGGCGTCAGCCTCAGACGTGGACTGGCTGGGTGACCCGGGGCGAGTCACATCACTGCTGCTTGCCTCAGTTTCCTCATCTGTCAAATGAGGATAATCACAGCATTGACTTGCCAGGGTGGTTGTGAGAATCAGATGAGATCATATTTGTGGAATGCTCAGCACATAGTAGGCGCTTGTAAAAGTTTGCTTCATCATCATCAGCTGTGTGACCCTGCGCAAGGCACTTGACCTCTGTGGGGTTTGGTAGTTACCCTTGTGGAATGGGGCGATCACAGCACTGCCGGGGTGGTTGTGAGGGCGTCCTGTCAGTATGAGGATAAAGAGAGTGCTCTGTGAAGAGCCGTGAGGGCGATTGGAGAAGAGCGTCCCTAAAACTGGAGAACCCAGTGAAGTGGAGGGCTAGGGCAGGCCACGCGTGCGTGTGGGTCTGTGTGTGTGTGTGTGTGTGTGTGTGCATGAATGGGTGTGTGTGTGTGAATGAGTGTGTATGTATGTGTGACAGCCACTGCCACTGTGTGTGTGTGTGAGTATATGTGAGTGTGTGTGCATGAATGGGTGTGTGTGTATGAATAAGTGTGTATGTGTGTGAGACAGCCACTGCCACTGTGTGTGTGTGTGAGTATATGTGAGTGTGTGTGCATGAATGGGTGTGTGTGTATGAATGAGTGAGTGTGTGTGTGTGTGAGACACAGTCACTGTCATATGAGTGAGTGTGTGTATGTGTGTGTGAGATGCAGCGCCTGCCGCTGTGTGTGTGTGTGAGTGTGTGTGACGTAGCCTCTGCCGCTGTGTATGTGCGTGAATGAGTGTGTGTGAATGAGTGAGTGTATATGTGTGTATGAGACACAGCCATTGCCGCCATGTGTTTGTGTGAGTGTGTGTGCATGAATGGGTGTGTGTGTGTGTGTGTGTGTGTGTGTGAATGAGTATGTGTGTGTGAGACACCGCCACTGCCACTGTGTGTATGTGAGTATATGTGAGTGTGTGTGAAACAGTCGCTGCCGTCATATGAGTGAGTGTGTGTGTGTGTGAGACGCAGCCCCTGCCGCTGAGTGTGTGTGTGAGTGATGCAGCCACTGCCGCCGTGTATGTGTGTGTGTGTGTGAGATACGCGGCCCTTTCCGCCCCCCAGTAGCATCCCGTGGGTGGGCGATGTTCCTCCGCCAGCCCGGCTCTGGGAGTGAGTGTGGCCACCAGTCGGCCCACCTTGAGCCTAATGCTGTTTGTTTCTCTGCCCACGCAGAATGGACCCAGCCACCTATGCTGAGTATTTGAAAGAATCCGGAAACCAGATTTTTAAGAGTGGGAACTTTTCCTTGGCCATCAGAAAATACGACGAGGCCGTCCAGGTGCTGCTGCATCTGTACCACTGGTGAGTGCCCGGCTTCTCCGCTGGGGGCGGGAGGAGGCTGGGTTCCCTCCTCCTCCCCGGGCTTGTCTGTCTCACCTCCTGCCATCGGGGCCGCCTAGGATGGCCACACACCGTGGGACTGCTGTCCCGGAGGGGCCCCAGTGGCACCCCTGCCTGGCTTCCCGTCCCATGTGGGCTTGTGCTGGGCGCATGAGGAAGGGTCAGTGCCGGGGTCTCTTGAGACAGCAGATTGGGGGCAGCTCAATCCGGAGGGGCCGACCGCCGGACAGGGCGTCTGACTTCTTTGTCTGTGGACTGGGGGCGGGGCAGGCTGGGCCGATGGGTTGAAGAGGTGGCCCTGAGGGAGGGGCAGGAGCGGGGTGAGGAGGGGAGAGGTGGCCCTGTGGGATCCTCAGTGGTCCAGGGGTATTCCACGAGGCACAGACAGCCCGGCCCAGGATGTGGAGGGGAGAGAGCCCTGCCCTGTGTCTTTTTTCGGAAGGAGACTGCCAGGAAGGAGCCCTCTCTGAGGGGCTCTCCATGGAGGCAGCGTCTCGTCCTGGCCCTCATCCTCGCCTTTTTCCTCTTGCTTTGGACATCCTGGTCCTTTGTCTCCTAGAGGGGACAGACCGTGTCCTGTTCCTGCCCCACCTGGGTGCCCACCGAGGAAGGAGAACGAGGCTTCCCCTCTTCCACGTCAAAAAATCCTTCTGAGGAGGAGAAGGGGGAAGGACCTCAAACTTTTGGATGAAAGTTGTAATTCATTTCAAGCACATGTTAACTGTTTTGTTTAAGAGAATCCTGTGACAACGAGACACAAAGAACACATCAGGAATAGACTCTGCATTTTCCAGTTTATTCCTTCTCCCACCCTTAGACCAAGCCAGACCAAAGAGAGCACTGGACAGGCCTGCCCAGTGGCTCCCGAGGCCCCCACGACCGCCGTCCCCTGGGCCCAAGACACGGACTCTTGGTTGAGGGCTCCATTTTTATGTTGTCCCAGTCCTCGTGCTTTCCTTGTCCTGGCTTTGTCCGCCTTTTCTGCCGCCACACTTCTCATCCTCCTCTTTGAATTCCATCCGGCGGGGTGCCCATGTGGGCATCGGTGCTCCGCTGCTGCAGACGGCACCGTCAGGACCGTGTTGCCGTACGGGGGACCTCTTTTTGTCATTGACCTCCTTGGGATCTGCTAAGAGAGGAGTTCCTCGGCCCCTCTGCTGGGGACGCAGTGATGCGTCTCAGCACTTCTGATGTGTACCTCCTGTTGGTTGTGATTTGGGGCGCTTTTTCACATGGCTGTGAAGGAATCTGTCTCTGCTGTGGGGATTGACTATGATCAGCTAAGTAAACACACGTGTGCATCTATTTTAAGTGTGGAAAGTACTTGCCTTTTTTTTTTTTTGGTGAGGCAGTTGGGATTAAGTGACTTGCCCAGAGTCACCCAGCTAGTGAGTGTTATGTGTCTGAGGCCGGATTTGAACTCAGGTCCTCTTGACTCCAGGACCGGTGCTCCATTCACCTAGCTGTCCTGGAAAGTACCTTCTAAAGCATTGCATAAAGCTGTTTTTGGCGACGGGTCATTGTTTGTGCATTTCAACGAAGACTGATGGGACTCAGGAGCCCCACAGTTGGAGACAGAATGGAGACAGTCTCAGCCTTTCTAAACCTACCTCGGTTTCCTTATGTGTAAAAGTGAGCAAGGTGGACCGGATGACCTCTTAGAGTTGGAAGGAAGGGCCCCCCACTCAGGACATCTGGTGCGACCCTTCCTCTCCGTTGGTGTTCTGCGGTGCACATATGCACAGGGGCGCGTGCAGGGTCTTGTATTTGTGCTTTTCCTTTTGGTGGAAGTGACTGACGCCGTCGGTGTGTGGCCTGCTCCGGGCCAGGCGCTCCGGGTCAGCACTGTGTTCTTCCCCTCAGGGTCCCCCCGAGAGACCTGGCCGTGCTTCTCTGCAACAAGTCCAATGCCTTTTACAACCTGGGGAAATGGAACGAGGCGTTTTATGCCGCCAAAGAGAGCCTACAGTGGGATCCCTCTTACGTCAAGGTAAGGTGCTGCCCTGCCCGCTAGTCATGACGAGACTCTGCCAGCTTCTCACAGACTCTCTTTGTGCTTTGAACAGGCTCCCTAAGGCCATGAGCATTGTCTGGAGGACAAGAGAAAAAAGTTCTGGCTAAGTAAGGAGATAGCGCCCGCACGTATAGAGTAGGAGCAGAGCATGGCCCCGCCGCACCCCACCCCCCACGGTCCCCGTGGTCTCTCCCGGCCAGGCGGGATCTTCTTGGCTTCTTCCTTGCTGGGTGACTGGCCCACTTGCTTCTTGTCTCTGAGCCGCCACGTCTTCATTCGCTCATGAGATGGGGGAGGGGCTTTCCCTCCAGTAGCTAGCCCAGGCTTCCTCGCCTTTGGCCTTCCTTCTCAGAGCCTCTGGCAGGCTGTACTTCTGCATCTGGTCAGTCCTTTCAGGGGAAATTGGGCAGGGAGTGAAAAGGGATCATTCGTGTAGCTTGTGTGGGGCAGGTGACGTGGCGGCTGCATCGGCGCCAACGGTCACATCAGCCCGCATTCAGCCATGAGGTGTCAGGTGCTAGTCCTTGTGCGCCATTCCTTGAGCTGCATGGTGCTGTGGGGGACGGGGAGGAGAAGAGAAGGAGTGTCCCCAGATACTCTTAGGGGAGGCAGGACGCACAGACGGAGCCAGCTGTGCGGTGGCCTAGTGAGTCTCTGAGGCCTGGGCCGCGGGCAGGAAGACGCCTGCTTTGCACCCTTTGGGGCCCAAGGATGCTTTCTTTCCCTAAAGCTTCCGAGGCAGAACTTCTCTTTGGGGGTCAGGAGCCTCTGAGATCAAAGTGGGCAATGCCCTCCTCTAGGAAGGGCCCCTGAGTCATCCGAGAAGTTGTCCTGCCCGCTTCCTGGCCCCTGCTTTGGCTTGGGGGAGAGAAGGGCTTTGGGGACGGGTGCCTCGCAAGCACCCAGGCTGCTGTCGGCTTCCCCCAGGATGGCAGGGACGCCCACGTGGAGCGAGGGGGGAGTCTGCCATGCCTAGGAAAGGAAATCTTAGGAAATAGGGCCTGCCCCTGCTTTGCGAGCCCCAGGCAGAGGGGGCATCCCCTCCTGAGACTGGCCGTGCCCTTTTCTCTGTGTTTTCCGTGGACGGCTGCCTTCTGTCTGCCCCACACTGCTGCTGGGTTCGTTTTCTGAAATGCAGAGATCTCCTTGTGTTAACCACGTGTCACCAAACCATCCCTGGCTCCCCATAGCCTGCCCCTGTGATCCACATTCCTGACCTTGGCATTCAAGGCCCTGCAGTCTTGCATTGGCCCGCGCCCTCTCACTGGCTCTCTCCCGAGGCGCTCTGGACCGTTCATGCCTCTTATTGGTGCTCTTCTCCGTCTGGTAGCTGGCTGGCCGTCCTTCAAGGCCCTGCAGCCCCAGGCTGGCACAGAGCCTCTGCTGGTCCCTCCCGGCCACAGCCGTCCTGTGTTCCTGCACGACGCCTGCCCTTCTGCCTGGGGCAGGGTCCCAGCCTCTCGGGCCTCCCCCACAGTGACCCGGCCCTGGCTCTGCTGCTCCTCTGCTCACTGTGGTCCCCACAAAGGGGTGGGCCCTGCTCAGCAGCGCTAGCACAGCCGCCAAGGCCACAGGTGCCCAGGGGCGCGTGGATCAACTTCTGTTCGTCATCTCCCATCTTCCTGCATGCATGCAGAGCCCACTTTTGGAGGGCATGGGCGGAGGGCCCTGTGACCCCCCCCGTGGCCTGTCCCGTGTCCAGAGAGGACACACCCCGGGCACTGCCTGCCTTCCCTGCCCTCTTCTTGCCTGGACCCCCGGGGCTAGGGTTTTCTTATGTCTGGCTGAGCTCATGGCCCACCTCATCTTCTCTGTCCTCTACTGTCTTTGCATGGTCGACGTGGCCTTGGGCACAGGGCCGAGCACAGCCGCTCTGTCAGGCCTTCACGAAGGCTGAGCCAGGCCGGCCTGTGTCCAGGATACAGAGTCCAGGCCTTGCTTTGGGATGGGGACGAGTGGTGTGCTCCTGTGCTTGTGGTCCTCCTCCCGGTGAGGGGCTGGGCTCCAGGGACTGTCCTGTCTCCCCTCTGTACTGCAGGGCTACTACCGAGCTGGCTACTCGCTCCTGCAGCTGCTGCAGCCCTATGAGGCTGCCCATATGTTTCTAGAGGGTCTGCGCATCCTCCAGAGCTCCCCCGGACCAGGTGCAGATCTCCGACCTCATTGTGGGCATCTTCACCACCATCAGTGGTACGTGGGGGCTGCGCCCGTGAGCTCAGGCAGGGTTGGGGGGGGCAGTGGCATCATGGGCCGATCCCTAAACCTGTGCCTTCTTGGGGGGGGGGTCACAACTGTTGGGGGCTTCTTAACATTGGCCCCGATGCCTCCTGGGTCAGCATTCCTTGGCCCAGTGTTGGCCCTGAGCAGGGCACAGATCTCCCAGGGGACGCTCATCCCCTTCTTTAGAAAAGGCTCTTGGGGCAGCTGGGTGGCCCAGTGGATGGATCACAGCCCTGGAGTCAGGAGGAATCCGGCCTCAGACACATAACACTCACTAGCTGTGTGACCCTAGGCAAGTCACTTAACCCCAATTGCCCTCACTAAAAAGGACAGAAATAAAAACAATAGAGTCCATGGAGAGCTTGTGGGCAGGCGAGGGGGCAGTTGGCAGTGGGGGGCTGCTACATCCCCTCGGAGTCCACAGAGAGTCCACTGTGGGCAGCAGTGACCCGTGGGCGCGTAGGCGGGCAGGCGGCCTGCTGAGCTCATCCCCATCCCGTCCCCTCGCCTTTGGAGTCAAGGGACACCAGAGACCTGAGCAGCGGTTCCAAAAACCTGCTTGTCCGGGGGGGCCTTAGGGCCACTGTGTTTGGAGTCTAGCCTGCATCGTCTCTGTTTCTCCATCTGCCAAATGGAAATCATCTCTTTCCTATCCGTCTCATGATGTTGTTGTATCAGTGAACTCGGTGAAAAGAGAGAATGCCTTTTAAAGCATGAAAAGGACAGACACTCTTAATGGGAGGAAGGAGATCTTTAAGGGAGAAGAGAATTCATCTTTGGCGATGTCTGCAGCCCCGTGGGCTGGCTGAGGACCCTCTTCGGGATGGGCATGAAGGGAACGGTGCCCGTTGCTGCAGCCGGCCCATCTCTGCGCCCTGGAGTCCTGGCCTTTAGGGCCCAGCTTGAGGGGCCCGGCCCCTCGTGGCTGTCCTGGCCTCCCATGGCTGCCTCGGCCTGCCCAGCTGCTGTGTTGGCTTGTGGCCAGCCCAGCTCCACACTCGCTGAGCCCTCTGTGGCCTTGGGAAATGTGGAATTGGGACCTGATCCGACCTAGGGAGAGAGGAGCCGCCCAGCTCCCAGAGTGCCCGCATGGCCTGCCAGGAAGCTCCCCTCCCCCAGCCGGAAGTGTTCTAATGCTGTGCCCCCCCGCCCTTCCTTCGTGAATGGCCTTTGTGTCACCCACGATCCCCCTACTCATTGGCCGCAGACCGCCCCCTCCCCCGTGCCTCTGTGCGCTATGCACTGGCAAGAGGCCATGTGGCCCCCCCTGCCGCGTTCCGCATGGATGCGCTGTTGGACACACCTTCTCGCCTACCCAGGGGAACACATTATCCTGCACAGCTTCCTGCCCTTCTTTGAAAAGATCTTCAGTGTTGGCTTCGATGCGAGTGTTTGGCAGGCAGTCATCGAGAAGCTGGCCAAGAAGGGGCTGTGGCATGTGAGTGGGGTGTGGTGGGCGTGGTGGGTCGGGGGGCAGATGGGCCCTTCTGTCTCAGCTTGTGGCTCCCAGTCGGGGTGTGGGGGGATAGAGAACCTTCCTCGCCAGCCTGAGCCGTCCCAGAGTGGAGCGGGCTGTCCCCATGAGCTGGCGGCTCCCTTCCCCTAAATTGCCTTCCTCTAGAGCAGCCTGGCCCTCTGGAATTCTGGGACCCCCGGGACGCGGTTGTCTCCGGGGCAGGCCCCCAGGGGTGTTCACCAGCTCTTCTCCCCCCTAGTCCTTCCTCCTCCTGTGTACTAAGAAGGATAAGTTGCCCTGTGACCTGAGGGTGCCTGACCTGTCCTTGAAGGGTCTCTTTGAGGTACGGGGGCTGTGCCTGCCCTGGGGAGGGGGTGCTTTCCCTCACTCCTGCCCCTGGCTGGTGGGGGGGCACCGTTCCTCTGTCCCCACCCCTCTGCTGTCTCTCCTCCATCCCATGTCTCTTCTGGCTCACTTGAGGCCTTCCCAGGGGGCTCCCCGTGAGTCTCCCCGGCTTCGGGCTGCAATCTGCGCTAGCGGTGTGGGAGGTCAGGAGGTTACCCTGGGAGGCGTTGCCGGGCGTGAGATCTGGCACCCTCAGCAAGGCTTTCGTGTGTCCCCAGAAATACGTCCTCTTTGGGCACTATGAGAAGATGGAGCAGATGCCAAAGCTGGTGCAGTGGCTGATCTCGCTGGGGGCCAGCATCCAAAGCATCGGGCCCTACCCCCTGCACGCCATCATGAAGCTCTGCATCCAAGCGAGTGAGTGTCCCTGCGCCCACGCCAGTGTCGAGACCCCTTCTGCCCAGCCAGCCGGCAGGTCCTCGGAAGGGACAGGGGTGGGCAGGCTGTCCGCCCTGGGGACATGGGTCCTCGGGGAGGGTCCGGCCGGACCTCAGGCACCTCCTGAGTCGATGGGTTGGGGGCCTCGCCAGCTGCAGGAGGAGGGACCCCAGTCTGCCTGCCTCGCCTGCAGCGACACTCTCTCCCTCCTGCTTCTGGGTGGCATCCGGGTTGCCCGGCTCCCCTGCCCAGCCTGAGCTCAGTCTTCTGTCCGGTCAGAAGGTCACGGGGTTATCTTTGAATTTGCTTCAGAGGAAAACCACCTGTTTAGGTGGCTGATGGAGCAGAAGCCCGAGCTGAGAGCAGACATTAACCAGACGGATGCCGGCGGGTGCACCGTTCTGCACATCGTCGCCTCTCACCGCGCCGGGTACCTCGGCAGACGTAAGGAGCTGGCTGGGCCCTGGGGGTGGGGGAGGGTGCTGCAGGCTCCCACGAGTGTCCAGAGCCCCCCTGGCTCTGAGCCGCCTTCCGGGCTCTGCTGGTGCCCCCAGCTCCCACGGGGCCCCTCATGGCAGTCTGCGGACTGGAGCCATAAGATGGGGAAGGGCGGAAAGCCTCGTTTTGAGGTTCAGAATCTGTAAGGAAAGATTTCAGAAAGAGCCACAGCCTTGGCCAAGGTCTGCCATCCCCCTTGTATGCACGGGCTGCTTGGGCAGTGTGTGAATCATTCATGAGCCCACCTGGTTGGGGAGCGATCTTTGTCAGTCAAACACTTGCCGGGTGCTGGGCTGTTCAGAAAGGCTGGCTATCTCATCACACCAGGGGAGGCGCTGGGTGAGCCTGGGCATTGCTGTCATCATTGGGGAAGGCTAGGAGGGCCATAGGAGGGGTGCAGGCTCGGCAGCGAGGGGAGCTGGGCCATTGGGGCCGAGGGCTCGGAAGCGCTAAGCGTTAAGCACGCCGGGCTGCCAGGCGTGGCACTTCCTTCCCAGGAAGAAGACAGGGAGGGTGGCAGGCCCTGGCTCCCAATCCCACACCGTGTCAGCTGGCGTGGGCAGATCTGGGCTCCAGGAGGTGGCTAACAAACACACCTCTCCTTATTCCTGGGGCCCCAGAACTCAGGCGGGTCACAGCACGGCCCGGCACAGAGCTCGTCTGGGGGAGACCGTCCAGAGGAACACCCCGTGACGGCCTCCCCCGGGGTTGAGCTCTCCCCGGGGTCCCTGCCTCGTGCAGTCCCCTTCGTGACGCCTGCTCGGCTCTCATCCGAGGCACCCAGATGTGAGGAGGGGGTGCGAGCCTGTCCCACTCGTCTTCCTTGCCAGCCCCTCTGCCCTGGAGGCCCCGCATCCCGTGAGATGCCGGGCATCCTCGGAAGGCTCTGAGGCCGGGGCCCTGCAGCCTCAGCCCTAACCCTGCATGCCCCAGTCATGGCTTGACCTCAGGGGACTGCGCTGAGGCTTGGGGATCATCCCATACATGGATTTGTGTTGGTTAGCCCAGCCCTCCAGCCGTGGAAGGGAGAACACCGATCCCTTCGTTCTGTCTGCCCTCCAGCTGAAATGGAGCATTGCCTCCAGTTCTTTAAAGACACGGTTCAGAGAAGGGGGTGTTAGCTCCCCATCCTGCCTGCCAGGGGCCCCGGTGACTGATGGAGAGGGTGGGCAGGGGAGCCCCGGGGGGGCAGGGCTCGGGGCCCAGTGGCAAAGAGCGGTCACAAGGAGGCAGCTTCTGGAGGACAGAGGCAGGGTCCAGAGGGGATGGGGAGCAGGGACTCCCCATCACGCCCGTCAGGGCCCGGGCTGCTGGGCCTGCGGGTTGTGGGGACTGGGACTGGGTGGGGGGCGAGAGGGCAGAGGCTCCCCTCTTTCCTCGCCCTGGCTGCTTCCTTTGCCCGAGGGTTTGTCACGAGGCCAAGCTTGTCCCCTCCTCCCCCCGGGCTTCCTCTTTTTCCCTTAGAGCAAAGGGAGATGAAAGTTGCTTGATCGGTGATGCTGATGCTTGTTGCTAGGCAACGGCGTCACCCGGTAACCCAGTTCTCTCGCTTGCTGTTGCCAGGCGGCGGGTTGGAGCGGTTGATTGGCCGGATGGTTTGGGGGGCGGGGCGGCGCCACGTCACGCGTCAGTCCCGTCTTCCTGGGGTGACTCTGGGGGGGGCAGTCCTCCCCCGCCCCTGTGGCCCGGTGGTGACGCGTCCTTCCCGTCCCTAGGCCAGACCGAAGATGTGCAGATGCTCCTGTACTTGGGGATAGACCCCACCATTGTGGACAAGCAGGCGCGCTGCGCCATCGATATCCTCAAGCGCAACAAGAACTTCAAGGCTGTCGACAAAATCAACTCCTTCTTGGATACCCAGAAGCGGGGCTGCGCCAAGGGACCCTCAGGTACGTGGGCCTCGAAGGCCAGCCCTGCTTTGGGGTTGGCCGTGGCCCTCCCATGTCAGTGAGGACTCTTGTGGCCTTGACCACCATCCACGGGGCCCACTGGCGCCAGGGCCCCTCCACCGCTCCCCGGGCAGCCCTTTGCCTTCCTGTGTCCAAGGTCATGTAGGTCATGAGTGGCAGGTCTGAGATTTGAACTCGGGTCCTGTGCCTCCAAAGTCAGAGTTCTTTCCTAGTTTCTGTGCTGCCTCTGGTACTCAGTGGGTTTCTTCCAAAGCCCCCTCCCCTCTATACCTTGCACTTTCTGGGGAGCCTCAAGGCAGGCTCTCGTGCCTCTAGCTCCCCTTTCTCAGGTTAGTTCATAGTCCTTGCCTTCAGACACCTTCCTCCTCTCCAGTGCAACAAGGGAGGGGCCTTGTGGCGCCCCCTGCAGCTGAGTCACAGTCACAGAAATGCACGCACCTGGCACAGCGTAGGGCGTTAGTCAAGGTTTGTCCATTGGCTGCTTGGCATCCCCTCCCTTCTGCCCTTCACCTCCTAGAATCCCGGACACGCTGCCTCTCCCAGAGGCCCTTCCTGGTCTCTCCCGTGGGTGGGGCTTTCTGCCTCTCGGCATCCCATGGCCCTTCCCTCCCTCTGCCGTGTTCCCGTAGCCGGGGGACACTCAGTTTTGCCGTCGTATCTCCAGGGCATGGTACGCAGCCAGTCTTAACTGACTTTCTTCGACCCTTACAAATGCATCTCCTTGGAGAGGTCCAGACACCAGAATGGGCACGGAGGCCTCCGGCCCAGCCCAGGACTCACAGGTGCAGTCGTGAGCTGCCCTGTTTGCATTTTGACCAACCTTGGGCTGTTGGACACGTAGTAACAGGATCGCCCCTTCTGACCGTGTTCTTTCTCCTCCCCACTTTTGGGGGTCTGCTCATGGCTGTGGCTGCCGGAGCTGTGGCCAGTGTGGTCAGGTGTCTGCACTCTGCGCTGCTTCCCAGAAGGCACCTGCTGTTTCCTTGTGGCCTTCCTAGCTGGCCTTCTGACGGGCATGGATGTTGCTTCCGTTCCCAGACCTTCACTGCCTGGCCAGCCATTCCTAGCTTGTAGCGATGCGCTAGCTGTGACTAGCTGATCTGCTTGGAATATTTTTTTCTGACAAAAGGATGTTTTTTTTTTCCTGCCAATGTCATCTTAGCTGTGAATGCCTGGGGCCCACAGTAGGGACCGGGCCACGCTGTGGTGCCCTTCTGGGGCGCCGCCCCGGGACAGGCGCGTCTTTCTTCCCAGCTGCACCGTCATGGACCTTCCTGGCTCTGAACCCTCTTGGTGGTTTAGGGTCAGGGAGAGTGCTCACCAGTTCCGTTTCTCTGAGTCTAGATGTGGTTAATCTGGTCAGTTTCTGATAAAGGGTTTGTCTTCCTCTGCGGGTTGCCTTTCATGCTCTGTGGGCAGCGGGCGGCTCGTCCATGTCTCAGTCCCTCGTTCCTGATTCTGGGAGTCCAGCTTTTCTCAGACTTGTCTGTTGCATGTGCCCCTGCGGCCCCCATCTCTCCCTTCCAAAAGTCCCGGGTGTTGCTCTTTGTTTTCACATAATCAAATCCTCCTGTGGCCTCAGATCCATCTGTTCTCATTCATTCAGCATCCAGGTATTTATTAAACGTCTGCTGTGTGTGCGAAGGCTGGGGACAGAAACCCAGAAGGAAGTAAGGCCTGCCCTCAGGAAGGTTACCGGTGAGGGTGTAGGGAAGGAGGATGCACAAGGTACGCAGAAAAATAAATGTGTAGGAGGTGCAGAATGCTTGAGGGGAATGGGCACTAGCAGTGGGGATGAGGATCAAAAGGCTGCTTTGGAGGCATCTTTGAATGCTGTGAGGCAAAGTTGGGGGGCCCTGCACGTACATGCAGGTCCAACAAAGGAGCAGAGAAAGAGCAGTCAGAGAGGTAGGAGGAGAATCAGGAGAGAGCAGGGGTCCTAAAAGCCTAGAGAGGAGACAGTATTGTCACAGTTAAAATCAGGTAAACTGAGGCACGATGTTCTGAGCATATCAGTTTATTAGTAAAGCGACAGTTTACCAGTACATGGGAGCTGAGATTCCCCAGTAAGGCCAAGACCCAAGGCAGGGACAGCGCTTTTACAGTTTTGGGGGGTACAGAACAAAGTACGGGGCATTGGGAGCAGGGAACAAGGTATGATTGGGCACGGGGCTGAGGCGTGGGGGATGACAGGAGAGGTTGGAAATTGGGAGTGAGGGGCTGCCAACAAGCCCCTGCTTCCCTCCCGAGTCTAACAAGTGGTCATTGTTTGAGGCCACCTGCGAGGTCAGAGGGAGGCGGCCCAGCTCCCGGATGTCCTTGAAGGATGGCTTAGTGGGATTTATCCATTAAGAGAGAGAGAGCGCTTTCAGTTGGATGAGGTTGGAAACCAAGATGCAGAGAGCTCAGAGAGAAAGTGGAGGCTCCTGGTGTAGATGGCCTTTTCTGGGCCCTTGCCCACAAAAGGGAAGAGAGCTATGGGGCAGTAAATAGCTAGGGGGGATGGAAAGGTCCAGTGAGGGTTTGTTGAAGGTGGGGGAGATGTGGGCATGTTTGTAGGGAAGGCTCCAATAGAGAGGGAGAGACTGAAAATAAGTGAGAAAGGGGGGGAAGAGAGGGGACGGACTGGAAGAGGCTCACTTGTTAGCATGGTACATGGGAGTGAAGAAGGAGTGAGGGGCAGAGGGTGCCTGGGTGATGGGAGAAGAGGAGGAGGCGAGAAGGGGAGCTCACTAGACCGGTGGCTAGGGAAGCTGGGGGAGGTCTGAGGAGGTGAGAAAGTCTGGAGGGTGGGGGGGCCTGAGGAGGGGGCCAGAGCAGGATGGTTGGGCAGCGACGAGGGCCCGGGGGAGACTGCGAGCGACTCCTGAGGAGAGAACGCTGGCGCTGCCTTGGCACAGCAAGGGGGCAGAGGGTGATCAGTGCAGGGGTCACGGCCTGGGAGAGAATCCAGGGCAAATGGCGAGAATGGAGAGCAGGGTCACGGTTGGGAAGGTGCAGGCGGGAAGCCAGTAGACTGTGGGTGGCTGGGGGGTTTTGGCATCGTTGAGTATGGAGGTGGTCCCTCTGTGGGTGGTGGCAAGGCCACGGGTGTGGCTGGAGTGGGTGCAGGGCAGCTCTGGGAGGCCATTTGAGGGAGAGTCAGTATGTGTGTTGAAGCCCTTCGTGCGAGGGGAAGCTGAGGCAGGCACTGAACTTGGGATGGGCAGGGAGTGCCCCAGGTCTGAACTGAGGGGGATGGAGCGGGAGGGGAGGAAGGAAAATGAAGTGACAGAGGGGCTCTGAGGCCTTCCACCATGGGGTCGGGGTGGCAGTCCAGCTTCTCTCCGCCTCCTCTGGCCTCTCCAGGGCTGGCCTGCTAGGGATGGGAGTTCTTTGGAGCCTTGGCCAAGCTCAGCCTGCTGGGCTGTGCCCCTGAGCTGCCCTTCCCCAGAGACACCACTAGGTGACAGCATATGCCATGTGGGCGGAGGTCTTTTGCAGCTCAGGCCCCAGGCAGAGCTGCTGCTCTTTGGTGGGCACTCGAGTGCCCATTTGCAGTGGACTGACCATCCAGTTCTAGAGGGCCCACCTCCCAGGCTTGGGGGTGTGGGGTTTGGGGCCAGCAGCATGGAGACCTTCTGTGAGTGTGTCCCTCTGTCTCTGCTGGGGGGGTTGGGGGCACTGGGGAGGCTGAAGGGGGCTCCGTAATTAACAAGGTTTGAGGCCCCTCTGTGTCTGGGGGTCATGGGGGGCTCTGTAATAAAGTTTGAGGCCCCTCTGTGTCTGGGGGGGTCATGGGGGGCTCCGTAATTAACAAGGTTTGAGGCCCCTCTGTATCTGGGGGGGTCATGGGGGGCTCCGCAATAAACAAGGTTTGAGGCCCCTCTGTGTCTGGGGGGGTCATGGGGGGCTCTGCAATAAACAAGGTTTGAGGCCCCTCTGTGTCTGGGGTGGTCATGGGGGGCTCCATAATAAGGTTTGAGGCCCCTCTGTGTCTGGGGGGTCATGGGGGGCTCTGTAATTAACAAGGTTTGAGGCCCCTCTGTATCTGGGGGGGTCATGGGGGGCTCCGTAATAAACAAGGTTTGAGGCCCCTCTGTATCTGGGGGGGTCATGGGGGGGCTCCGTAATTAACAAGGTTTGAGGCCCCTCTGTATCTGGGGGGTCATGGGGGGCTCCGTAATAAACAAGGTTTGAGGCCCCTCTGTGTCTGGGGGGGTCATGGGGGGCTCCGTAATTAACAAGGTTTGAGGCTCCTCTGTATTTGGGGGAGCTCCGTAATTAACAAGGTTTGAGGTCCCTCTGTATCTGGGGAGGTCATGGGGGGCTTTGTAATTAACAAGGTTTGAGGCCCCTCTGTGGGGGGGGGTGTAGAGTAGGGGGTGGGGCCGGCCAGGCATTCATCACTTCTCTCTCCTTGCCTTTGCCAGGTGTGGGAAACTCGCGATGTCACCGGTGTATTACAGGGCAGAACGTGAGCGATGCCTCCCTGCGTGAGAGCCATGCCTTTCTGGACATCTTGGAACCCTTCATTCAGTACCTGTGTACAGAGAACCGCTCCCAGCAGAAGGGCCTGCTCAAGCACGAGGTGGTCCAGAGGTTCCTGCGCCTTCTGTCCACCATCCAGGGTAAGAGCCGGCCGGGGGCCTCTTGGAACCTTGGGCCATCATTGCCTCGATTTGGTGCCTGGGGTAGTGCGACAGGAACCTCTCTCTCCCCATCCCCCCATGCCCTCCCCTGCCCCCCAGGTTTCATGGGAGGAAGAGGAAAGAAATCTGGGAGGTTCCAGAGGGTCTTCTTAGAGACTGAAATAGGCCTGGAGCGCAGGTGGGTGGAAGGGAATGCTCTGGGATGTGACCCTGTGGCGGGAAGGGAGCCTGGCTGAGCCACCAGAGGAGCGAGGGGACAGACCCCCCAGGTTTGGGGCTAGACCTCAGCCGCTGCTGACCTGGCCAGGCCTCCTGTTCCCCACCATCTGTTTTGGAGAGTCAGAGGAGGGGCACCCTGGCTTTTTGCCTGGGCGCTGGTCTGTGGGTCACTGTGGCTGGAGAAGCCAGCAAGAGGCTGTTCTGAGACTCTTCCCTCAAGAGTCTGGGTGTTCTGGAAGAGAGTTGTGGGGAGAGCCGGGCTCCCCTCTCCCCCGAAGCCCCGCTCAGCAGATGCCGCCGCTGGCCGCGGGCCCTCGGGGTGACCCTGGGCCGGTCACGCCCCCCTCTGCTTCTGCAGTCCTCCCCCCCCTCATCGTTTGTGAGTTCGACCACGCATGCGCCAGCACCTTCATCCGGCTGCTGCTGGAGAAGCAGAAGTGGCACGAGGTCCTGCTGCTGTTGACCGGTAAGGCCGATGACGAGCCGTCCGTGGCCGACGGCCTCATGAAGAACTGCAACCTCTCAGACCTGGACATCTGCACCGTCATCCAGCACCTGAGCCGCTGGGACCGGCGCCGCCTCTACCTCCTGGGCTGCCTGATCGACTGCGGGGGTGAGCGGGGGCAGGCGCGGGCTGTCCCCTCCCAGCCATGGCCCTTTCCTTCCCCACGTGGAGGGCAGCCCCTCGAGCCCCTAGCCCTTTTCCTTCTCTGCTGCCGTCTCCCTTGGGTTGGGGGCCCAGGGCTCCGGCAGCAGCTCCTCTACCCCCCCAGGGCTCAGCGATTTAGGCTTCTCTGTTCTGCAGCCCCCACGGAGGGGCTGGACAGGAACCGAGACTGTGAAAGACCACTCACGATGTGCTTGAAAAGTGGGGATTATCAGCTGGCCTTCCTGCTGTTGACCAAAGGCGCGGACCCCCGGGGGCATGACCCTCACAGAAGGGGACATGCCCCTCCACGTGGCGCTGTTCATCTACTTGGATAAGCGAGGTATGGCAGCTCCTCCTGGAGGGCGCGGAGAAGCGGCCTTTGTAGACTGACTGGCAAGCGTAGAGCGGGGTGGGATGCTTTCCTCCGGCCTTCAGAACACAGGGGAGGCTTTCAGCCTCGCCCTGAAAGGCCGTCCTCAGATGAGTCGGCTTCTCATTCCCTGTCTAGTCCCCTGGCCCTTCGGTGATCAGGGCTCAGTCTTGGGGGGTGAGCAGCAAGGGGCCGAGAGAGGCCTCCATTGTCCTGTCCCCTGTCCTGTGCCCCAGGCCCCCAGGGAGAAGGGCTCGGTCTTGGGGGGCAAGCAGCGAGGGGCCGAGAGAGGCCCCCCCATTCTGTCCCCCGTCCTGTCCCCGCCCCCCAGACTCATGTGGCTCTTGCCTGTTGTCATCCGCAGCGGACATCGGCTTCACCTTCCTGAGTCACCTGCTGGACCTGTACACCTCCAGCCCATCAGACTTCTCCTTCCTGAACCCCAACGCGCAGGATGCCAACGGGAACACGGTGATGCACATCATCTTCCAGAAGGGGATGCTGAAGCGCGTCAGGAAGGTGATGTACTTGCTGGCTGGGTTCGACATCGACTTCAGCCTCAAGAACAAGGACGGCAAAGACGTCCGGCACCGCATCAAGAAGAACGACTCTCTGCTGCTGACCTGGAAGAAGGCTGTGATGGAGAACCGCAAGAAGGGCCGGCCGGACCAGATCTCCTCACACCCGCCGTGCCTCCTCAAGACACCGCCCGCTGGCCCCACGCAGCAGCAGAAGAACGCGGCCCCCTCCGTGGTGGGCTCCGCCTCGCGGCTGCCACTGGGAGACACGACTCTGTGGGGCGACGGGCGGGCCCCCGATGGCCGGGACGGGGGTGGGGCACCGGGCGCCACACGGCCGGGGGCCGATGGCGGCAAGCCCTTCGGTCTGCGGGACAGCCTGGTGCAGGCCATCCTCGCCCTGATCCAGCAGATGGAGCTGGGCTCCCTGGGCCCCGAGGACACACCCCTGTCCCCCAAGCCCACCCCAGCGGGGGCCACGGAGGAAGGGAACCCCGAGGACCACGCGGTGCCCGAGGATGGCGACAGCGAGACTCCCGGAGAGAAGGCACCTCCCCCGGCCAAGCCGGAAGCAAAGGACACCCGGCCCCAGCTGGGGGCGGAGCCCCCACCCGCGGAGAACAGGGAAGAGCGGCGGCGTCGGGGCGAGGGCGTGGAGGAAGAGGTGGCGGACGCCCCCGCGCAGTTGCTGGAGGGCTACCTGCCGGACTTTGACAACATGACCTGGGAGATCGAGTGCACGTCGGAGATGCTGAAGAAGCTGGCGAGCAAGGCGGTCACGCGGGTGCTCAGGAAGAAGATCGTGCTGGCCATCCAGCACCTGGGCAACGGCGAGTGGACGCAGGGCCTGCAGAAGCGGCTGCGGCACCTGCGCGGCGACATCCGGCTGTACGAGGCCAAGCTGGACAAGGGCGCCCGCATGCTCTGGGAGCTGGCCATCGACTTCTCGCCGCGCTGCAGTGAGAACCCCGAGAAGATCATTGCCACGGCGCGGGCCGCGCATCCCCTGGAGACATCGGGCGGCGTCTACACGGAGATCATCCGCATCTGGGACGTGGTGCTGGACCACTGCAAGCTGAACGACGCCATCAGGGCCATCTGTGCGGCCTACAACCGTGGCCTGTCCTGCGTCCTGCGCAAGAAGCTGAAGGGCATCCACACGGGTCAGCTCTCCTCAGGCCTCAAGGTCCAGAAGCGCATCCCGCGCTGCTACGTGGAGGACACGGATGCCGCGGATGGCCGGGGCCGTGAGCGCGCGGTGCCCGAGTACTTCCCGCCCGCCAGCGCCGTGGCCACCGAATACAACATCATGAAGTTCCACAGCTTCAGCACCAGCATGGCGCTGAACATCATCAGCGACTCTGCCACGCCCGCCGAGTACCCCTTCCGGGTGGGCGAGCTCGAGTACGCCGTCATCGACCTCAACCCGCGGCCCCCGGAGCCCATCATCCTCATCGGCCGCAGCGGCACGGGCAAGACCACGTGCTGCCTCTACCGCCTCTGGAAGCGGTTCCACTCCTACTGGGACAAGGCGGACCGGGCGGGCAGCCCGCTGCTGGCCAAGCACGTGTGGCGGCGTGGGGCGGGCCGGGCAGCCGAGGAGGAGGAGGAGGAGGGGGAGGAGGAGGAGGAGGAGGGGGAGGAGGCCGCCGAGGACGCCGACGATGAGGATGGGGGGTCCCCGGGGCCCGAGGCCGCGGACGGCAGCGGCGACGAGGACCCCGAGGACGGGCCGCCGGAGCCCGCGGACCAGGCGGCTGAGCCCGTGCAGGCCGTGCGGCTGGAGCACCTGCGGCAGGTCTTCGTCACCAAGAACCACGTCCTGTGCCAGGAGGTGCGGAGGAACTTCGTGGAGCTGACCAAGTCCAGCAAGGCGACCAGCCACTTCCGACCGCTGGAGCCCGGCGTGCACCGGCTGCAGGACGTCAGGGACGAGAGCTTCCCGCTGTTCGTGACCTCGCGGCAGCTGCTGCTGCTGCTGGACGCCTCGCTGCCCGACCCCTTCTTCCTGAGGAATGAGGACGGCAGCCTCAAGCGTCACATCTTGGGCTGGTCCTCGCACGAGGAGGCTGCCATCCCCGGCCGGCAGGAGGAGGCCGAGGCCGGCGACTACGGCGAGGAGGACGAGGCGGCGGAGGCGTGTGGTGGCGAGACCGACCCCCGTGTGTTCGTGACCTACGAGGTGTTTGCCAACGAGATGTGGTCCCAGATGGTGAAGGGCAAGACGCCGTACAACCCGGCGCTAGTGTGGAAGGAGATCAAGTCCTTCCTGAAGGGTTCCTTTGAGGCGCTGAGCTGCCCACAGGGCAGGCTGACCGAGGATGCCTACCAGAAGCTGGGCCGCAAGCGCTCGCCCAACTTCAAGGAGGACCGCGGCGAGATCTATGCACTCTTCCGCCTCTACCAGCGCATCCGCTCGCAGCGGGGCTACTTCGACGAGGAGGACGTCCTCTACAACCTGTCGCAGCGGCTGTCCGGGCTGCGCGCGCTGCCTTGGTCCATCCACGAGCTCTACGGCGACGAGATCCAGGACTTCACGCAGGCCGAGCTGACGCTGCTGATGCGCTGCATCGATGACCCCAACGCCATGTTCCTCACGGGTGACACGGCGCAGAGCATCATGAAGGGCGTGGCCTTCCGCTTCAGCGACCTGCGCTCGCTCTTCCACTACGCCAGCAAGAGCTGCGCGGACAAGAAGCGCTGCCCCGTGCGCAAGCCCCGGCGCATCTACCAGCTCTACCAGAACTACCGCTCCCACTCAGGTGCGCGGGTGGGGGCGGACGGGCACCCTTACGTGCGGTTCTGCGCACACGTACGCAGACGTGCACGCGCACATACATATGGTCACACACGGACACAGATGTGCACGTGTGTACCCACACATGCGTGCAGTCACACACACGGTGATGAGCACGCACTGACACACTTAGATGGTACCCTTACGTGCACACACATGTAAGGCCACACACACTGACACATGTGCAAACACATGTGCGTACACTCACACACACCGACACAGATGTACACGTGTACATGCACATACGTATGCTCACATGGTCATGTGCACGCACTGACACACTTAGATGGTACCCTTACGTGCAGCCACACACGCACACACACACACACGAGCGCGCACACATATGGTCACACGCTGACACAGATGTACACGTGTGTACCCACACATGCGTGCAGTCACACAGACGGTTGTGCGCACACACTGATACACTTAGATGGACACCCTTATGTGTACTCACGCACACACACGTGTACACACATGCGCGGTCACATACACTGACACAGATGTATACAAGTGCACATGCACATATGTACGCTCATGCGCTTGCACTGACACACTTAGATGGTACCCTTACATGCAGCCACACACATGACCACACACAGTGACACGTGTGCACACATGTGCATATACTCACAGTGACACAGATGTACAGTGTGTACCTACACACACGTGCAGTCACACATACGGTCATGCGCACACACGTGTGGTCACACACGTGTACACACGCACACGCACATACGTATGCTCACACATGGTCATGCGTACACACAGACACACTTAGATGGGTACCCTTACGTGTAGCCACACGCGCGCACACACACACACACACGAGCATGCACAAGTGTGGCCCCACACACTGACACGTGCACACACGTGTGCATACACACACAGGCACACTTAGATGGGTACCCTTATATGAAGTCACACGCACACGCATACGCTCACACACACGGTCACAACAAGGACACTCTTAGATACATTCACGTGCGCGTGCACATGTGTGCGCTCATATGCACGGTCACACACACACAGATAGCTTCATACGCTCACATGCATCCTCACCCCCCGTACGTTCACACGCACAGTCACATATTGTTACACGCATACATACGCATACGTGAATGAATACGCATTCATACTCAAGCACGTTCACACACACACTCACACTTAGGCACACGCACACGATGCATGTTCGTTTGCACTTGTAGACACCACACACACAGATGTATACCTGTACTGACATACACACGAAGCTGTCAGAGGGCCATCAGTTCTATGGAGGGTAAAAGCCAGGCCGCAACAGGGGCGTAGAGGGCATTTCTTGGGAGGAGGGATCACTGTCTGGTAGAGTGGCCAGGGAGGGCTCCCTGGTGGCGGGAGGGACCTGCCAGGGAGTGGAGCTGGGGAAAGAGGAGAAGGGAGGAGGGGTCTTCTCCCCGCAGTCCCTGCCTGCGTGGTCTGGGCTCAGTGTCCCCGCGGATGAGGTGAGGCGGGTGGGCTGGACGTGGCCCTCCGCACCCCTGCCTGGTGGAGTCCGGGGCATGGTGCCCCTCACCAGCCCCTTCCCTTCTGGCGCAGGCATCCTCAATCTGGCCTCAGGGGTGGTCGACTTGCTGCAGTATTACTTCCCCGAGTCCTTCGATCGTCTCCCGAGGGACGCTGGTCTCTTTGACGGCCCCAAGCCCACCGTGCTGGACTCCTGCAGCGTCAGTGACCTGGCCATCTTGCTCCGAGGCAACAAAAGGAAAACCCAGCCCATCGAGTTTGGAGCCCACCAGGTGTGTTGGCGCTCGGCGGCCATCGGGGCATCGGGAAGGACCCCCGAGGCCCTGGAGCCCAGGCTTGGCCAAGTGGGAGTGCGCTGCTGCGTCCCCGATGGGAATCACCCTCGCTCTTCGGGGATGCCTCCAGAGAGCGGCCATCCTCTCATTCAGCCCTTGGGGCTCTTCTCCATGCTGGGCCCCTCCGTGGACGGACGGGGTGGAACATTGCAGGACGTGGGGGAAAGAATGCGTCTTTGTCTCTCAAAGAGGCTTCCTGTCCCCCCGGGAGAATTGGAAGGGTCTCAGGGCAGCGATCCCAGGCTGGGAGCCTCCGCCTTCCCAGTTTCCAGCCTTGTTCCCCATCCCCCGCCTCATCCTAGCTCATGCGGCCTGCCCCGGCTCTGCCTGGGGAGCTCTCTCTTGCCCAGGCTTCATTGAGTCCACCCACGTGTATGTGTTTGTGTGTCCCTGCGTGTGTGTGCATTTGTGATTCTGGACTTTCTTTACATAGATGCATGTGTATATAGACATAGACATCCGTGCAGCTTTGTGTGTGTCTCTGTCCGTCATCTACATGTTTCTGAACTCCACAAACGAGGAGCGTTTCCACAGAAGGAGGCGACATGCCACGTGTGCCTTTCAGAGCCACCCTGAGGCCTGTGGGCCTTAGAGCGCGTGCAGCCAGTGGTTTTCTGTCTCTTTTCTCTCTCTCTGTCTGTCACTGTCTCCCTCTCCCTCTCTCTCTGTCTCTGTCTCCCTCTCTCTCTGTCTCTTTTCTCTCTCTCTGTCTGTCACTGTCTCCCTCTCTCTCTGTTTCTGTCTCTTTCTCTGTCTCTCTTTGTGTCTTTCTCTCTGTCTCTCTCTGTCTGTCACTGTCTCCCTCTCTCTCTGTCTCTGTCTCTTTCTCTGTCTCTTTGTGTCTTTCTCTCTGTCTCTCTCTCTGTCTCTGTCTCCCTCTCTCTCTGTCTCTTTTCTCTCTCTCTGTCTGTCACTGTCTCCCTCTCTCTGTGTCACTGTCTCCCTCTCTCTCTGTCTCCCTCTTTCTCTGTCTCTGTCTCTTTCTCTGTCTCTCTCTCTGTCTCTGTTTCCCTCTCTCTCTGTCACTGTCTCCCTCTCTCTCTGTCACTGTCTCCCTCTCTCTCTGTCTCTGTCTCTTTCTCTGTCTCTCTCTGTCTGTCACTGTCTCCCTCTCTGTCTGTCACTGTCTCCCTCTCTCTCTGTCACTGTCTCCCTCTCTCTCTGTCTCTGTCTCTTTCTCTGTCTCTCTCTGTCTGTCACTGTCTCCCTCTCTCTCTGTCTCTGTCTCTGTCTCTGTCTCTTTCTCTGTCTCTCTCTCTGTCTCTGTCTCCCTCTCTCTCTGTCTCTCTCTGTCTCTGTCTCTGTCTCTTTCTCTGTCTCTCTCTCTGTCTCTGTCTCCCTCTCTCTCTGTCTCTGTCTCTGTCTCCCTCTCTCTCTGTCTCTGTCTCTTTCTCTGTCTCTCTCTCTCTGTCTCTGTCTCCCTCTCTCCCCCCACTCTCCCTCTCCCTCCTCTGCATATTTGCCGTGCACCCATGACTTCCTTCGGAGAGGGCACAGACCCTTTGAGGACAGGCTCTGTGTCTTCCTTTGCCTCAGCAGGCCCAGCCCCTGGCCCTGATGGCTGTGCTGCTCAGGCGGTACGGCCGCCATATTGTTCCCCGGGGCCGGGGCTGCCTCCCCTTCCTTTCTTGGTCTTGACCCTCCCTGCCCTGTCGGCTGTTCTGGTCCCCCTCGCAGGTGATCCTTGTGGCCAACGACGTGGCCAAAGAGAAGATCCCCGAGGAGCTGGGCCTGGCTCTGGTGCTGACCATTTATGAGGCCAAGGGTCTGGAGTTTGACGACGTCCTCCTGTACAACTTCTTCACGGATTCGGAGGTATTTGAAGTTCCCTTGTCGTGCGTGGGTGTGGTGAGGGGGAGGGAGGTGAGGGCGGGGGGCTCAGACCGGGTGGAGGTGACTGCCTCTTCCCTCCATGCCGCCTGCAGCTGACACGCTGGGCGCCACATGCGGGGCAGTCCACGGCCATCCTGGTGGTTGCTCTCGGCTCTGGGATCCGTCGGGAAGGACCGGCTGTAGCCGCCAGGTTGCCAGCCTCCTCTTTGGGGCATCCTTGGCTTTCCACTCTGCCCCTTTGGCGGGAAGGCTTCACTTGGTGCCCGTGACCTCTGGCCGTCTTGCACGTGGAGGCAGGGCCTTCCGAAGGCCCCCGTCCCGTGCCCACTGCAGGCTTGGGTTGGCATTCTTACGTGGGCTGTCTTTGGAGAAGAATGCTCAGCACGTGGCAGATGCTGCCTTCGCACAAGCTCTTGCCTTGAGCCGGTTTGGTGGGGGCTGGTGTGGGGGAGGCGGTTCCCCGTGGAGTTCTGGGGCCAGGCCTCGCTCTGGCCCTCCCGGCCGGTCTCTGCTGGAGTGTTCTGACCCACAGGGAAGGCGTGGAGTGGCCAGACTCTGGTCCAGAGCCGGATGAGGCCTCTCATCCGAACTGTGGCCCGGGGGATTTGAGCCAAGTCGTTTGTCTTCACACCCGGCGAGTGAGGGTCCGGTGAGCCCCGTTGCCTTGAGTCGCAGCTGAGCAGCATTTGCCAGCCCAGGAGCCCTTTCTGCCAAGGGAGAGGGGAGCTGACCCTCCTGGCCTGTGGTGTCACCTTCCATGGCTGGTGCTGGGAGCAGGACTGGGGGTCCTTCTGCTGCCCCCTCCTCATAAGGGCAGTGGCTTGGCCACTGGTCGCAGTGGAGGCTGGGGGATTCCTGAGCAACCCCAGGCCAGCTGGAGGCAGATGAGAGCCTGCCAGTTGTGAGAAGGTGGCCCTTCCCCTGGGAGGGGGACAGGGGGAGGGCTGGGACTTTGGTGGTGTGCCCCATCCCTGGCTCTGGGATGGATGCTCCATGAGGGCAGGCATCACGTGGGTGGTTTTCGTCCGCATAACTCCTGGCCTGTGGCCTAGGGTCTGGCCCACGTTTGGCCTCCATCAGGGCTTGTTGAGGCGGCTGGTTGAAGTGCCTCTCTACGGCCCCTCCCAGAACAGGGAGTTAGAGAAAACGAGGAGGGGGAGCCCTGGCCCATTGTTCTTTGGGGTGCTATGGGTCCCTTATGTCTCTCGGCCTCTGCTGCCCCAGCACCCCATGCTGGCTCTGCTCTTCTGGCCCCACTTGTGTCCTGGCATCTGCCGGAGGTGCCAGGATCCTCATCCTAGTGCTGGCTTCTCTGTCTCTCTCTGATGGGAGAGCCTGCCCGCTGCTGGCTTCTCTCTCTGTCAGGAGGTCCGGCCTGCCCTCCACTGGCTTCTCTCTCTGTCAGGAAGTCCGGCCTGCCCACTGCTGGCTTCTCTCTCTGTCAGGAGGTCCAGCCTGCCTGCTGCTGGCTTCTCTCTCTGTCAGGCAATCCAGCCTGCCCGCTGCTGGCTTCTCTCTCTGTCAGGAGGTCCAGCCTGCCCGCTTCTGGCTTCTCTCTCTGTCAGGCGGTCCAGCCTGCCCGCTGCTGGCTTCTCTCTCTGTCAGGAGGTCCAGGCTGCCCGCTGCTGGCTTCTCTCTCTGTCAGGTGGTCCAGCCTGCCCGCTGCTGGCTTCTCTCTCTGTCAGGAGGTCCAGGCTGCCCGCTGCTGGCTTTGTCTCTCTCTGTCAGGAGGTCCAGGCTGCCCGCTGCTGGCTTCTCTCTCTGTCAGGAGGTCCAGGCTGCCCGCTGCTGGCTTCTCTCTCTGTCAGGAGGTCCAGCCTGCCCGCTGCTGGCTTCTCTCTCTGTCAGGCGGTCCAGCCTGCCCGCTGCTGGCTTCTCTCTCTGTCAGGCGGTCCAGCCTGCCCGCTGCTGGCTTCTCTCTCTGTCAGGCGGTCCAGCCTGCCCGCTGCTGGCTTCTCTCTCTGTCAGGAGGTCCAGGCTGCCCGCTGCTGGCTTCTCTCTCTGTCAGGAGGTCCAGCCTGCCCGCTGCTGGCTTCTCTCTCTGTCAGGCGATCCAGCCTGCCTGCTGCTGGCATCTCTCTCTGTTGGGCGGTCTGGCTGGCTCGTATCCGGCGTCTGTCCTTCTGCCGGGCGGTCTGGCTGGCTCGTATCCGGCGTCTGTCCTTCTTCCAGGCAGTCCAGCCTGCCCACTGCTGGGCTGCTCCTGGCTCTGCCCAGGAGAAGGTCCACCTTGCCCTGCGGGCCACATCGGGACTCAAGGGAGAGGCAGGGGTAGAGTGGGGCTATCCCTGAGGTTGTGATAGAAAAGTGATGCTTCCTCGTGTCAGCAGGTGGCCACAACATGACAAAACGTAGTTGAAAATGAGGTGTGTTACAAGGGAAATGACCCTGCACGCGAGCCCAAAGGGCTCACAATCCACACAGACATTTGCATTTTTACATCCTCAGGATGGAGGAAGGAGGTGATCCCAGGAAGGGGCGTGCAGGGAAGGTGGGACAAGGACAGGCCCCCTCCTGAAGGGGAGGAGCTAGGCCATGCCAAAGCCGCAGCCCCGTGAAGAGAGGAGAGTCTGCTTAGTACAGGGTCCCAGCTGCACAGACATCCCAGCCTGGCGCAGACACCCACGGAGTGCAGCATGGGGTGCTCATTCTGTCTGCCCAGGGGGCTCCTGCATGTCCTGGGTCCAGTGTTTCTGGCAAATATAGCAACTCAAAAAGACATGTTCGGGGGACCCCTTGACAGTCCTGACCTCTCAAGCCCCTACAGAAATCCTCCCGTGTCTCGGGGAAGGTGCCGGGTCAGTGTTTGCAGAGATCTCCACATTTTAGTGACATGCCGGCCACAGAGACACGTGGGGCAGATGTGGAGTGGGAGGGGCCTGGGTGGCTGTGAGAGGCCTTGGGTGAATCCCAGCCCCAGAGCACATCTGACCTTGCTGGGCTCTGCCAGGGGCTGGACAAAGTGGTCAGGGGTTTGGGTTGGGTCCAGTGCTGGGATCTCAGTGACTTAGGACCTCTTTGTGTGGAAAGTCCCTTCACAAACGCAGGGTGGCCCCTGCCTGGGGTAACTTGTCCAACTAGCCAGGGAGGAGGGCTCCAGGAAGGAGTCAGGGCTCCCCTCCCTTGGGGTGGGCCCTGCATCTTGAGCCCCGGGGAAGGCGGCTGACGTGGCATCGGGGGTGGGGGCAGTGTCCTCTTGGAGCCTGCTGAGAGCAGTGGAGGGGACCCCTCTGGTGGCCAGGCTGCTCCAAGGATGACAGTTGGGGCAAGGCCCAGCCGACACTTGCACTCCTCCTGTAATCACGCAGGCGTACAAAGAGTGGAAGATCATCTCCTCATTCACTCCGTCGTCCGAGGGCCGCAGCGAGGAGAGCAGGCCACTGGTGGAAGTGTCCTTGGAGAGGATGCACACGTCCCCAAGCCGGTCCCAGCTGCTCAACATGGAGGCCTACAAGGTGAGTGGGCCTGAGTGTCCCCTCTGTCTGTGCTCCACGGCACCGTGCTCGGGGCCAGGCCCGATTCCTGGGGCCTCCGACGCCCGCCCAGCCCCTGCAGGGCTTAGGGCCTACCTGCCGGCGGGCAGACAGAAGCTGCTTCTGTCTGGGCCCTTCAGCCCCGTTGGGACCCTCCAGGAGAGTGGAGCCTGGGCCTGGTGATGGAAGGATGGGGAGGAGAGCCTCGTGGGGGGGGCAGATGGCAGGTGCCATGCAATGCCTGCCCGCCCTTGGCGACATAGTCAGATGGGTCACAGTGGTGGTGGCATCACAAGGAGGTGAGTCACATCAGCACATGTCCATCAGGCAGTGACTGTTTGCGGCACTGTGCCGAACCCTGTGCCTGCCCTCCAGAGGCTTCCTCAAGGGGCAGACGGTGTCCGTAGCCGCGCTTCACGCTGGCCCGTTCCTGCCCTGCCTTACAGCTTCTCAATGGCGAGCTGAAGCAGCTGTACACGGCCATCACGCGTGCCCGCGTCAACCTTTGGATCTTCGATGAGAACAGGGACAAGCGGGCGCCTGCCTTCAGATACTTCATCAGGAGAGACCTTGTACAAGTGGTCAAGACGGACGAGAACAAAGGTGAGGCTGGTGCCCGGGACCCCAGGAGGTGCTCCCTTCCCAGCTCCCCTGTCACAAAACCTCCCCTGCGTGGGGCTGATCCGAAGGAGGGCTGGGGTCGTGGAGTGGTGCTCAAAAGGGGCTCCGTCATCCTGCGGGACTTGGCTTGCCAGCCTGCTGAGCCCCGGAAGCCTCACAGGGTTCTGGCCCCGCTGGGCTGGAGAGGCCCTGGCTCTTTACTCCCCCCAGGGCCCAGGGTTCCTATCTTGATTCCCCACTTACCCGTCTGACTTTGGCCAGGTCCCTGGGCCTCTTTCCTCTTCTGTAAAATGAGGGACTCAAACAGCATGACCTCTGTCCCCTTCGGCCCTGCCCTGACCCAAACCTTGCCCCTTGGAAACATGGGGCCAGGCCCGGGGTCTTCTCCTCTGCCACCTCTGCTAGGCTGGGTCGAGGGCGGCTACAGCGGGGAGGGCCTTGAGGAGGAGGCGGCCGGCACCAGCTGGGCACAGAATGCACAGCGTGTCTCATCTTATGTGCAGACTTTGATGACAGCATGTTTGTGAAGACGTCGACCCCGGAGGAGTGGATCGTGCAGGGAGATTACTATGCCAAGCATCAGTGCTGGAAGGTAGGTCCCAAGGGCGCCAGAGGGTGCGGGGCAGGGGTGGGGAAAGGCGTGCCCGGCCTCGGTGGCCTGTGGCTGGATGGGCCCCTCTCTTACAGGGTGCCAGGCACACACTCATTCCCTTGCACACTGATTCACTCACTCACTCGCCCACTCATTCATTCATTCGTTCATTCATTCATAGTAATAATAATAACACTTGTATGGCGCTTGCTGTGTACCAGGCACGCACTCATTCCCTTGCGCACTAATTCATTCATTCATTCATTCATTCATAGTAATAATAATAACTAACACTTGTATGGCACTTGCTGTGTGCCAGGCACGCAGTCATTCCCTGGCGCACTGATTCATTTAGTCTCTCATTCATTCATTCATTCATAGTAATAATAATAACTAACACTTGTATGGCACTTGCTGTGTGCCAGGCACGCACTCGTTCCCTGGCGCACTGATTCATTCATTCATTCATTCATTCATAGTAATAATAATAACTAACACTTGTATGGCACTTGCTGTGTGCCAGGCACGCAGTCATTCCCTCGCACACTGATTCATTTAGTCTCTCATTCATTCATTCATTCATAGTAATAATAATAACTAACACTTGTATGGCACTTGCTGTGTGCCAGGCACGCAGTCATTCCCTGGCGCACTGATTCATTTAGTCTCTCATTCATTCATTCATTCATAGTAATAATAATAGCTAACACTTGTATGGCACTTGCTGTGTGCCAGGCACGCAGTCATTCCCTGGCGCACTGATTCATTCATTCATTCATTCATTCATTCATAGTAATAATAATAACTAACACTTGTATGGCACTTGCTGTGTGCCAGGCACGCAGTCATTCCCTGGCGCACTGATTCATTTAGTCTCTCATTCATTCATTCATTCATAGTAATAACAATAACTAACACTTGTATGGCACTTGCTGTGTGCCAGGCATGCACTCGTTCCCTGGTGCACTGATTCATTTAGTCACTCATTCATTCATTCATTCATTCATAGTAATAATAATAACTAACACTTGTATGGCACTTGCTGTGTGCCAGGCACGCACTCGTTCCCTGGCGCACTGATTCATTCATTCATTCATTCATTCATTCATAGTAATAATAATAACTAACACTTGTATGGCACTTGCTGTGTGCCAGGCACGCACTCGTTCCCTGGCGCACTGATTCATTCATTCATTCATTCATTCATTCATAGTAATAATAATAACTAACACTTGTATGGCACTTGCTGTGTGCCAGGCACGCAGTCATTCCCTGGCGCACTGATTCATTCCCGCCATACAGGGCTCTGCTTTGTTCTGGATTCTGGCACTCTAACGGCTCTCCGGGGTCTGGCCAGGAATTGTCTCTACCACCTCTGCTGCATGGCGGGTATTTCAGAACGCCATATGCGTGTTACCCAGTGGTCATCTTGCAGGCCTGGGCCTCCTGGTCGGGGCTGGCCCTGTGTCTGAAGCCTCGTCCAGCCTGGTCCCCCCAGCACCACGTGGGCAGAGTCCAGACCAAGAGGAAGCGGGTCAGGCCTGCCTGTTGGCCAGTGGGCAGCTGTGCTGACCCTGTGGCATGTTAGAGGAGGCCCAGAGAGGCCCCCAGGGAGTCAGTGGTCTCCGTGACTGCCTCATCTGGCACAAGGTCAGTCCAGAGCCCACAGAACGGCAGCTTGGCGGTGCCCACGTGGATAGGGTCCTGGCGGCCGGCCTCCACAGGTGAATGAGACGCGCTGGTAGTGAGCGCTCTGGAGGCCATTGTCCGGTCCCTTACTGCTTGGCCAGGGGGCCGGCTGGCATCATCTGGACGGCAGAGGCCCAGGAGCTGGCTGGTCTCGGCCTGCACGCCTGCCATCATCGGCCGTGGTGCTGTGGGATGGGGAGGCAGGGCCGGGCTCCGGCTCCCCTCTGCCACCATCTGCATTGGGCAGGGCAGGCCCCTCAGCCTTGTGTTCCCCATGGGGGAATCAGACCAGGAAGGACTTAGCGTTGAGAGGGCGTCTGTTGTGCGCTAGGCCCTGTGCCGAGCACCTTACAGACATCTTATTTGGTCCCCGCGACAACCTGGAAGGGGTCGTGGTCATTATCTCCACTTTATAGTTGAAGAAACTGAGGCAAACAGAGGTTCGAGTGGTGTGCCCAAGGTCCCCCAGCTAGCGAGTGTCAGAGGCTGGATGTGATCCCCAGCCTGGGGCTCTGTCCACTGCGTGACCCACTTCCTCAGTCCCCTGACTTTGTGCCTTGACTTTTCTCTGCATAAGAACCTTGGGGGTTGGACCTCAGCTTCCAGGATCCCAGACCTGGATGTGGCAAAGACTGAGTGTTGCCCTTCTGGGCCCCATTGCCTTGCAAGGACAGGGCTCCAGGCCCACTGATTCACCAGTTATTGACATGCTTCAAGGCTTTCTTCTGTTCCCTAAAGCAGCTGACCTCCCCAAGTCTCACTCGGCCCCCCATCACAGGAACCAGTGAGAATGCGGCTTCCCTCACCAGGGAACAAGAGCGAGGCTTCTTTATGAAGCAGGTAGCTTTCGTGTGCCCTCCCTGTGGGAACGCCCAGTCCAGGCTGCCGCAGTGGGCAGCGAGCACCCTGCAGGGAAGGGCCCCTGGCCTAGTGGAGGTGGGGGAGGGCTTTAGTTGTGCCCTGAGAAGGTGAGGATGGGCGCCTCTGCCAACATAGGGCAGTGTCCTTGGGCAGTCCCGGCCCAGACACCTTCCTCCTCACCCACCGGCTCTGCTCCTCTCCCCAGGTGGCAGCCAAGTGTTACCAGAAGGGAGCCGCCTTCGACAAGGAGAAGCTGGCCCTGGCCCACGACGCCGTCCTCCATGTCAAATCCAAGCGAGTCAGCCCCAAGTGAGGGAGCGGTGCCAGCGGGCAGTGGGGCCGGGGGTGGGGCCCAGGGCGTCAAGGGGACCCGCTCACCCCCTCCCCCTTCTGCTGCCTGCCCCCAGGGAGAAACAGATGGAATACCTGGAGCTGGCCAAGACCTACCTGGAGTGTGGTGAGCCCAAGCTGTCTCTGAAGTGCCTAGGCTATGCCAGGGAGTTCCAGCTGTCCGGCCTCCTCTGTGAGAAGCTAGGAAAGGTATGGGGTGGCCAGCAGGGGCGTGGAGGGGTGACCGCCTTTATTAAGGCTAGCCCTTGTGCGGGCACTATCATGTGCAAACTCCAGGGGAGGGCGCTCCCAGCGTGGGGCACTGCCTGGGCAAAGCCACCAAGGTGGGATTCTGAGTTTGGGAAAAAGCAAGAAGGAACCAGGCTGTGAGAGGCTCTCAGTGCCCACCAGATGGGGGCCGTGGAAAATCCTTGAGAGCAGGGAGGCAGATTGTGGTGACCCAGCATCAGGGGAGGGCGGCCCGCCTTCTTGCAGCTCCACCCGTGCACGGGGCTAGTCCCACATGCGGGAGGAGCGCTGTTGGAAGCCTTCTGGGGTGACCGGCAGCACCCTCAGCCCTGGTCCGTGGCCGGCCACACATACGTGGCACCACCCAGGGGGCTGCTGCCAGGAGACAGCTGGGACATGCGGAGGACTCGGGCAGCCGGTCAGCAGAGCGTTGAGTGAGCACCTGCCTCTGATGGGCCTGGGCTCTGTACTAAGCGCAGGGGGTAGGGAGCGAGGCCAAAACAGGCCCTGCCCTTGAGGGGCTCACGGTCAAGTATGGGGGTGTGTGGGTGTGTGGGCAGATTGGCCTGCGGCCCCCTGTGTACAGTCGATGCCCAGGCTGGGGAGGGTGCAGAGGGGAGGCCTTCTGGGCAAAGGCGCCCCCGAGGCCTGGGCTGCCTGGAAGGGGGGGCATCTGTAGTGGACCCCGGCAGCCACGGGGGGCCCCCGAGATTCTTGAGAGTGGGTGACAGGGTTGGAGCTGCCCCTGAAGGGAGGCTGGGTCAGAGTGGGCGGAGACCACAGAGTCGGGGAAGCAGCTGGGGCTGTGGCCAGGCCCGAGAGGGTGACATGTGGCCACTGAGGGTCCCACAGGAGGGCAGACGCCATTCGCCCAAGTGTGCAGCTGCCAGTGGGGGGCTAGCTCTCCTCCCCGCCAGGCAGGCTGCTCACTCCGCGTTCTCCTCCCCAGATCAAAGATGCCGCCTACTTCTATAAGAGAAGCCAGTGCTACAAGGATGCTTTCCGCTGCTTTGAGCAGATCCAGGAGTTTGATCTGGCCCTCAAGATGTACTGTCAGGAGGGGCTCTTTGAGGAGGCCGCGCAGGCCGTGGAGAAGTAGGTGTTGCTGTTGTGCGTGGCCCCTGTTCCCTAGCAAGCATCCCCTCTCTTCTGTGGGGCTCCTGGCCCCTCGCCGCTTTGAGCTGTGAGCCAAGCCCTCGTCCCGGAGCCTGCCTGCACCCCATCTGTGCAGGTGGCGCGGAATCCCTGCGGGGCTCCCCTGCATGTTGCCGAGGGGAAACAGCAGGGGGATGACCTCCCTCGCTTCTGGCTGTGGGGTGTCAGGGGTCCCGCTCAGCCCTTTGCATGCGACCGCTGTGCTGGGGGAGGGGAGTTGTCCGCCGTTCTCCCCTTGATATGCGCCTGCCTGTGTCCAGACAGTCAGGAAGGCTTGTGGTGGGGACGTGCCACCTGAATATCAAAGCAACCTAGAGGAGAGATGTGCCCTCTGGCACCTCCAGCTGAGGCTGGAGGAGAATTCTTGGCCTAGCGAGGGGCAGAGGTGATCACAAAGAGAACTCCCCAGAAGTCTGAGTGCATGAACAAAAGCAGTGCAGCCAGGCTGAGAAGGAAGGCTGTTGATAGGGAAAAACCCCAGCCTTTGTGTCCAGTGTCTCTGGTCCAGGTCTGATGTCTGAGCCATGGAGCGCTGACAGGCACAAAGCCTGAGAGCCATTCCCCAGTGGATCGGCGGTCAGAGGATGTGACCGGTTCTCAAAGGAAGAACGGCACATTTTAGCAGCTACCCAGAAGCTTATGCCGCCCCTGGGAGAATAATAAGAAAGCAGCTGCAGAGCCCCGAGGGCTCCCCTCACACCCAGACCAGCCGTCATGGCCAAGGGTGCAAGGCTCAGAAAGGCCGGCTGTCCATGCCCTGTGGGCCCCGCTGGTCTCCAGCGCCATGGGGCATTGTGCTCAGAGTGTGACCGGGAGATCCCCCTGCTGGGCCACGCCCCAGGGAGGTTGCCCATCGATTGGGGAATGACTCTTCCCCTGCGCACGTGTCGCAGAGCATTTCTGCGCCAAGAGACACGAGTGTGAGGAAGGCAGAAGCTTGGGAAGACTTGGGTCAGCTGATGCATGCTTGTGTGAGCTGACGTGCAGGGACCACGGGAATGTAACTGCAGAGACCCCAAGGAAGCAGGGCAGGAAGTGCCTTGCCTGCCTTCCTGGCACAGTGGGTGGGGGGGCCACGGGTGAGGGGCACGGCATACACGGTCACACCTGCTGTATGTGTTGCTGGGTCTCACTGAGCTGCGTGCTCTTTCTCTCTCTCTCTCTCTCTCTCTCTCTCTCTTTTCATTCTTTGTCATAAGGGATGGCTTCCTTGGGAGCGGGGAGAGGAGGGGTAGAGTCAGAGACTAAGGTGGCCCTCAGACAGGGAATCCGCTCCGCCCCGAGTCCCCTGCCCCTCTGGGGGTGGTCCTCAGGGTGCCCTCGCTCTGGTGAGTCACACCGTGCCCTTGCGAGGTTGACCTGACCCGGCCGTGACACGTCTCGGGTTCCTAGACCCTGAATAGAGTCAGAGTGGGCCCCGCGCCACGGCCGGACGGCGATGCACTTGCTCTCGGACCAGATCCGCGAGCCCCCATCTCTCCGGAAGCTTCGTTTCCCCAGCTCCAAATGGTGCTGCGCAAAGGGCACCAACTTGGGCGCAGGAACACTGGGGCTGTCCCTCCACCTCCGCCACTTAGTGGCCGTAGTGACCATGGTAAGTCGTTTCTCTCTCTCTCGGCCTGTTTTCCCACTCTCTGTTGGCGTCTTGTGCCTCTTGGGGTCAGATGGTGCGTGTATGCGTGTGGCATGTCGCTAGTCCTGGAGCATTCTGCAGGGGTGGGCCGGGGCCGTTTGTCGGATGGACGGCAGTGGGATTTTCTGCCTGGCCTCAGGCTCCGTGGCTGTCACTCCCTTGGCCTGCACTCTTGGCAGCAGCAGGGGAGAGGACTGCCTCCCCCGAACCCTGGACCCCGAGTCAGGGGAGAACCCCAGAAATGAGGAAACTGGCCCAGAGAGGGGATGGTCGGGTTCCAAAGCAGGGCTCCTCTGTGCTGGGAAGGGGAGCAGGTCTGAGCGAGGCAGAGCTGTTTAGTGGTGGCTCTGGGCACTGGATTGTGCTGGGGTGCTGGAGCAGGGGCTGTCTCCTGTCTCGCCAGGCAGATGGCCTTGTCTTCTCCCTGCCCTTGGGTCTGGAGAGATGCTGGCTGTGGTCTGCCAGGGGCCCTTGGTCTGTGGCTCGGGCCTTAGAGCATGGTGAAGGAGAGCAGTGAAAAGGCATTTATTAAGCACCTGCTGTGTGCCAGGCCCTGAGCGAGACATGTAGGCTGTCCTGTCCAGAAGTCCCTGTTCTAATAGGGGCAGGACGCGTCTTGGGGACGGGGGTCTGGGGACAGGAGCCCGGAACCTCGGGTGAGCTGTGACTGGGGTTAATGCAGAAGGCAGAGGGGAGTGTCAGGCAGCTGTCCTCGGTGGCCCAGCAGGGCGCCTGGGCCAGAGGGGGGGCTGCTCCCCGGTGTGTTCTCCGAGTCTCCTTGGGTTAAGCCTGGTCACGCAGCCTCATGCATGAATCCACGGGGCCCCTGGGTGACAGCCTGGGCTGGTCATTGACACGGGAAGGAGGAAAGGCTGAGCTTCAGAATGGGAGCAAGTGCCCTGCGAGGCGGGGGGGGGGGGGCCCAGTGTTGAGCATCCCGGGCCTGCTCAGGCAGCAGCCCCTGGGAGGCGATGGAGCGGCACGGCGCCTAGGACATCCCCTCGCGGGGAAACCAGGCCCCCGTTCCTCGTCTGCCCCGAGCGACAGGGCCAGCGTGACCCAGGGAGAAGCCTGGGCCAGAGTCCAGTCTCAGACTCAGTGAGGTGTGGGTGACCCTGGGTGAGTCATTTTTCCTGGGTCCTGTTTCCTCATCTGGAAAAAGAACAGTCATCATAACCATAGTATGGTGATGCTCCAGGGAGATGACGTGTGGAGGGCAGTGCTGTGCAGGGTCATGAGTCACTATCAGACATTTTCCAAGTAGCGGGCGAATAGGTCTGGGTTCCTCAGCCCCCAGCGACTGATGCATGTGAGAATGGTCAGCAGCAGTGACCTCATGGCGGAACTTCAGGCCTTCTCCTCTGGGCCTGGCCTTGGGCTGGGTGCAGGGGAGACGAGATGCAACATTCCAGGTGCCACAGATAAGCAGTATGGCACCTGTAGCCAAGATATTCTCACACCAAGCTTGGCCCCCTGTTCCCCATATCTCTTAGTCCATCCGAGCAGGTTGCGTGTTGTCTGGACATCGCATGGGGTGGATGGTCTGGGCCGGACATCCGGCTGGGTGCACGGGCTGGGCTGGACATCCCACTGGGTGGACGGTCCGGGCTGCATGTCCTGCTGGGCGGGTGGTCTGGGCCAGACATGTCCCTGGCTGAATGGTCCAGTCTTCATGTCCTGCTGGCCGGGTGGTCCGGGCCAGACACCTCCCTGGGTGGACGGTCCAGTCTAGACAGTCCAGGCTTCACGTCCCATTGGGCAGGTGGTCCAGGCCGGACATCTCTCTGGGTGGACGGTCCCGGCTTCATGTCCCACTGGCCAGGTGATCCAGGCCAGACATGTCCCTGGGTGGATGGTCCTGGCTTCATGTCTCATTGGGTGGGTGGTCTGGGCCGCACATCTTCCTGGGTGGATGGTCCAGGCCAGACGGTCTAGGCTTCATGTCCTGTTGGGTGGGTGGTCCAGGCTGGATATCCCCTTGGGTGGACGGTCCAGGCTTCATGTCCCACTGGGCGGGTGGTCCAGGCCAGACATGTCCCTGGGTGGACAGTCCAGGCTTCATGTCCTGCTGGGCGGGTGGTCTGGGCCAGACACGTCTCTGGGTGGATGGTCCAGGCTTCATGTCCCACTGGGCGGGTGGTCCAGGCTGGACATCTCCCTGGGTGGACGGTCCAGGCCAGACGGTCTAGGCTTCATGTCCCGTTGGGCAGGTGGTCCAGGCCGGACACGTCCCTGGGTGGACGGTCCAGGCCAGATGGTCTGGGCTTTGTGTCCTGCTGGGCTCACGGGCCGGGCTGTCCTCCTGTTGTCTGTGTCCGAGGCTGGGGACGTCTGGGGGAGGGGGCAAGGCTGCAGGGCCACTTGTCCTTATTAAGCGGCTCTTTGTGTCTTTTGGTCCCGCAGGTACGAGGAGATGCTGAGGGCCCAGATGCAGCCCGGGCCTAAACTGTCCTATTCCGCCAGCCAGTTTTACCTGGAGGCTGCGGCCAAGTACTTGAGCCTGAACAAGGCCAGAGAAATGATGTCCGTCCTCTCCAAGCTTGACACCGAGGACCAGCTGGCCTTCCTCAAGTCCCGCAAGCGCCTGGCCGAGGCCGCCGCCCTGCTGAAGGGGGAGGGCCGCCGGGAGGAAGCGGCCCTGCTCATGAAACAGCACGGCTTCCTGCGGGAGGCTGCGCGGCTCACGGCCGACAAGGACCTCCGGGCCACCTGCCTGCTGGAGGCCGCACGCCTCAACGTGGCCCGGGGCTCCGACCTGGAGGACACCAAGGCCATTCTGAAGGAGGCGCTGGCGCTCTGCTACCAGACGGGGCAGCGCGTGGGCCTCGCTGAGGCCTACTTCCTGCAGGGGGTCCTGCTCAAGGACTTCCTGCGTCTGGAGGTGGCCTTCTACAAGTTCATTCACCTCAATCACCCCGCGGGTGCGGTGGAGGCGCTCTATGAAGCCATGCGCCACTGCCGGCCGGGTGCCGACAAGCTGCTGGCCCTGGCGCCGGGGGGCCTGGAGGCGCTGCTGCACCTGGTCAGGGCCCTCAGGAGGGTGACGAGCAACGCCGAGAAGGAGATGGTCAAGTCCTGCTTCGAGTTCTTCCGCGTCTCGCAGGTGGACACTGCGCACTGTCAGATGTCCCACAGCGACCGGGGCCCATCCTGAAGATCGTTCTGGACCTGAACCCGGGCTCCAGGGAGAGGGGGGCCCGAGACCACCTGCTGGTGGCCAGTGAGGGCATCAGGCTCGCCCTCACCAAGCACCTGCTGGCGCGGCTGTGCGAGATCTCGCGGGGCCTGCTGGGCGCCGCCTACCCGGGCATCTGCGGCAGGTTCGTGGCCGGCCTGCCGTGTGAGGACCCCGCTTGCAAGGACTTCCACCGGCCCCTGCGGCGCGGCGAGGCCAGGACCATGGTGCAGTCGCGGATGCACCTGGCCGCCCTCCACGGGCTGCTGCTGGAGGCCAGGCGGGCGTTCCCCAGGCTGCTGGCGCCCGAGCTGGAGGAGATCGACTGCCTGCTGACGGCCGATGCCTATGGCCCCTGCCAGGCCTTCCTCGACGTCGTCTTCCCCAAGCACTTCCACCTGAGGGTCATGTCGGAGAACCCCGCGGCGTGCCGGGAGGTGCTGCGGCCCAGCTACCGCTCCTTCCGGGCCTACCGCGGGGCCCTCCAGGAGTATGTGCGCTCCCGCTTCTGGCAGGAGCGCGCCTGCAGCCGGCGTGAGTCCACAGACCTGTGGCTGAGTGCCATGCGGGCCCTGGCGCTGTCCGCCGGCTACCCCGAGGAGTTCGAGAAGCTGCTGCACCGGGTGGAGGAGGACTATGGCCGGGAGCTGCGGGCGCTGGGGCCGCGGGCTGCGGGCGTGGAGGGCCGCCGCGGCATGCTGCTGCCCCACAAGGACGACGAGAGTGCCGAGAAGATGCACCTGTGCTTCATCCGCCTGCTGCAGGGCTCCATGGACCGGCTCTACGTGTCCCGCGACCCCGAGGGCTGCAAGCGGCTCTTCTTCCGCTTCATGAATGTGCTGGTGCTGCGCCACGAGGAGCCCCTCGTGCCCGCCATCGGCCACACGCTGGCGCTGCTCGAGTTCCAGTTTGTGCACTGTGGCGCCGTGCTGGCACGCCTCTGGAAGGGCGCTGCGCTCTGCCTGCCACGCAGCTACGTTGCCCTCATGCACCACTGGCACTACCTGTTTGGCCGGAAGGATGGGGACGGGGACCCGGGCGACATCTTCTCCATCATCCAGGAGTACAGGCCCAAGGACGTGAGCCACGCCGTCCGTGCCTTCCGCTTCCACCTCGCCTACCTGGCCCGCGTGCTCTGCGGCTGCGAGAACGGCAACTTCGATGTCCTCCTAGACGCCTTCGGCGACGTCCGCCGTGTGGCGTCCGGCGAGGCCGAGCGCGCCGTCGTCCTGTGCCTCGTCATGCTTGTCAACGCCGACGCGGTCGTATGGCCCCGCTGCAAGCCCGTGCTGTGCCGCCACTTCCCGGAGCTCGCCTCGCGGCTGAAGCTCATGCGCGCCGCGTGCCCCTCAGGGGTGCCCGAACGGCTGCTGAGGGTGGTGGAGCGGGTGCTGGCCTCCGCCGACATGAAGGCGGTGGCCGAGGCCCTGCGGGACCTCCTGTACGAGCGCGACGAGGAGTACCTGGTGGATTGCTGCTGGCGCTGGGACGCCGCAGTGAGGGGCCTCTACTTCGAGGAGGTCGACCTGAGCCGGCTCCTGGGCCCCTGGCCCGTGGATTCCTTCGCAGTCGACCCCGAGGCCGAGCGCGACCACGACGAGGCCGGGGAGGAGAGAGAGGACGTGCTTGCCTCCATCGTCTTCCAGAAACGGCGGAAGGAGCTGCAGAAGATCTCCACCCGCCGCAGGCTCCGCGGGGTCTGCCTCGTCGTCTCCCTCTGCGTCAGGTGGCGGCGGCGGGCATGCACCAAGGCAGATACCTTCTGGGGGGAGCTGTGCGAGCCGGGCGCCGGCAACTTCGAGAAGGCCGGCGTGGACCGGACGCAGTGCGACCTGTGCGGGGTCAAGTTCGTTCACGGCCCGGGGAGCTACTTTAGCCTGAGGGAGGCCTTCGAGGCCAAGACTTCGGAAGCCCTCATGCCCGGGGAGGCCGAGCCTGCGGAGAAGGACGTCTTGGAGGGGAGCCTGGACTTGGGGTCCAGCGAGTCCTACGAGAAGCACGTGGGCCTTGAAGCCCACCAGAAGAAGCTCGCAGCCTACCAGCGGTACCTGGAGTTCTTCAGCACAAGGGTGGACCCAGCCATCAGCGAGGGCAAGCTGGTGGTGAGGAGTGTCGCGCAGAGCGCCGGGGCTGAGAGCCACCTGGGCGCCCAGGAGCACAACCGGGTTCTTCAGAGAAAGATCCTGGAGAATATTAAAAGGGTCTTGGATGCGGCGGAGGACGTCTACAGGAGGAAGGCCTGGGCTGACGGTAAGGCTTGGGACTCCTCCTCCTAGGTCGTGGCGCCCCCGTGGCCACCTGGAGCTCGTCCATGGCACCTCCGTGGCTGCCAGGAGCTTGCCCGTGTGGCCACCAGGAGCTCACCCATGGTGCCCGTGTGGCCACGTGGAGACTTGCCTCCAGTACCCGCGTGGCCACCTGGAGCTCTCCTGTGGTGCCCCGTGGCCTCCTGGAAACTTGCCTCCAGTACCCGCATGGCCACCTGGAGCTCTCCTGTGGTGCCCCCGTGGCCTCCTGGAGCTTGCCTCTGGTGCCCTGGGGCCGGGCAGTGGGGAATCAGTGCGAGGTGGTGGGGGTGAGGTCTTGGACAGAGATATGAGGACAGAGCACTGAGTGCCGGGAGGGGTGGTAGGAAGACGCTGGCCTCGCCAGACAGAAGGTCCTGGGGGCTCGCTCTGCAGGACAGAGTCTGGGACTGGGGCGAGTTCATCCCAGTCTGACTCATTCACTCTCACACTAAATAGGTCAGACATCTTGCTAAGTGGGCGAGTGGTGCTTGACGTGAGTAGGAGCAGTGACAGGGGAAACGTGAACTTTCTGAGAAAAGGTTGTTTGTGGCGGCCGTCAAGGCCGCTTTCTGCACAGCCCTCCCTACTACCTTCAGTTAAATCTGGCTGGCATTCCCTTGTAGGCCAGCCTGCCGCATGGCTCCTTCTCTTATTTAATATTATTTTTCTGAGCTTCTTGCTTCAGTGTCCTCTTTTTCATTCATTCGTTGGCACAAGACCTAGCACAGTTCGTTAGATATCAGTTAGAAACTTTCTCTCCCAGTAACGATAACTTTTTCGTCTACATGTTAAATACTATTATTTTCTTTATGACTCCCTAAATAGCAAAATGACTGAACATATTCAATTTGCTAACACAAAATGAGAATGAGTGTAGATTTAGGTAATTATTCGCAATATTTTGACTATGAGAAATGTCACAGCCAGAGTCACCTCCAACTTTCACGATAGTGGTTGACGTTTCTTCATTTGTGAAAAATCAGGCCTGCCGTATTCAGTTTCTCTGAACATGTCAAGTAAATTCTCTTCTGGAAAGTCTTCCTTGCAAGATCAAGGTCAGAACGGTTTCTTCAGAAAAGAAGATCTCTCCATTGCCTTTCTCACCATCTTGTGCACCTTCTTGGCCACAACGAGGAACGATTTCTTTAGCTTCTCTCAAGCTGTCACTTTTAATAGCCTTTCTCTCTACAGTTCACCTCCCAGATCCTCCTAGAAACAAAGTAAAAGCAGACGGCGTTTCCCCGACTCTGTAGGCAGAAGTGCTTTGTAGCAAGACGTTGTTTGCTGGGCCTTCAAAGCCACCTGTCCGATGGCTTTTTCCATAGCATTCAGTTTGGCTTCTTCAGTTTTGGGGCAGTAGGTCCCCGTAAGACTTGATGTTACTGAGTGAGGGCCTCCAAATGGCTTTCGATTTCAGAATTCAGGCTGCTGAATCATCTTCCTCCCTCCCCTGAGCCAGTCGGTGGAGTTGAAGAGGCTTGCTCAGAGGCCTTGCTTTGGGAGACTTCTCACTCCCCTTCATATCGTGGGGTGGTCATTAAGAGCCTCTGCCGTGCTTGGGCGGCCGGATGCTCAGCCCTGTAGCTTCTGGCCAGACGCACCCAGGCGTTTCCCAGCAGGGCGCACGTGCTGCCGCACATCGGGGTTGCCTGTGGGAACCGTCCGTTGACATTTGTACCCCTGCCCGTGTGCTTAAACCATGCATGCTTTTGTTTCTGTAGCTGAGGAGACCATGACTAGGCTGGTTAACATTTTGACCCATTCTGTCAGTGATGCTCGGGAGTGGCTGATGAAAACGGAGGACCGTTTGAAGGAGGAAGGTAAGGATGCCATGTGTTAGCATTGGCAGCTTTCAGGTGGTGAGGGGTGCGTGTCGTGGCACCAGAACGGAGACAGCCGGCTGGACGCCTGGGACCATCCGTTCCCAGTCATCTCTCTTTGCCTTTGTGTGGCCACAAAGATTCACGGGGTGACCGCCGAGTTGCCCATCGGTGCGTGGGGGGTAAGAGGCGCAGCAGGTGCCCCACGCCCCAGAGCTGCCCGTGAGGCGCCATGCTGGCTGCAGCGAGCCCCCAGTGTGGAGTCGGGGCCAGGACAGGGGCCCTTTGTCCCTGTCCTTGAGTGTGGAGATGGCCGGGAGCTCAGGTCGCCCTAGGTGTGAGGCTACCGGCAGTAAGGAGGGCCGCGGAGACCGGGTGAGGTCTGGGCAGAGGGCCAATCCTGGCAAGCGGGGGGGTCGGTCCTGTGGCAATAGGGGAGGGGCAGAGAGGCGAGGCACCGGTCACAAGTGGATGGGAGAGGTCAGCGGTCAGCCGCGGAGGCAGGACAGGGTGTGGTTGGCCAAGAAGCAGCCGAGAGTGGGCTGGCTCCCCGATTCCCCCGCTGCTGCAGGGAAGGGGTGTTTGCGGGGAGGGGGATGACTGTGCTAGTGACGCTGCCCGGCCCTGCGGCCCCTTCCGTTCTCTGTGTGCTTCTGGGCTGAGCACAGGAAAGTCAGGCCCCTTTTGGGGGCTTGGCCTCTCGCCTTGTCAAAGTGCCAGGAAGCTGAGGTGGCGCTCCCTTGGAGTGGTGAGTGTTCGTCTCGTGGTCGTAGCAGGTTTTTCTCCATTTTCCTCGAGTGGCCCAAGGGGCACGGTGTTGTAGTGGATGGAGGGCAGGCCTCAGAGCCAGCAAGGCCCGGGTTCTGGTCCTGCCTTGCACCTGACTTTCAAGGCAGAGCAGGCTCACCTGTTGTGCTGGAAGGAGCTTCCTCACCTGGGAGTTCCCCACCCCACCACAATCCCCGGGGTGGCCTGTGCGTGGGCCAGGCGCCCTCGGAATCCTGAGGCCGTGTATTTGAAGTGGCCTTTTAAAAGGCCGTTTCTTTGTAAAGGCACAGAGCTCGGAGGCTGCCCGTAGACCCCCTCTCTCCTTGGAGATGGAGGTCCTAGTGCTGAACACGCCCAGAGACCTGGGTTCAAATTCCTCTTCTCTCGCTCATCAGCCACGTACGGGGAAGTCACGTGACGTCTGAGGGAAAGGGGGCCGACAAGTGCGTCTGAGACATGGACGTGGGCTGTGAGGCAGGGCGCTATGGTTGTCCCCTCAGGCCTTCCCTGCCTCAGTTTCCTCATCTGTAACACGAGGGGCAGCACTTGGTGATCTCCTTTGTTTTTCAGATGGGTAAACTGAGGCTCTGCTGTGACCCACCTGCAGTTGCTCAGCCTGGGTGTCCTGGCTACAAGCTTTGGAGGGACGTGGAGGAGGAAGAGCAAGTAGAGGAGGGGGAGCAAGAGGAGGAGGAGGAGGAAGAAGAGTGGGAGGAGGGGGAGGAAGAGGAGGAGGAGGAAGAAGAGTGGGGAGGAAGAGGAGGAGCAAGAGGAGGAGGAGGAGGAAGAGTGGGAGGAGGGGGAGGAAGAGGAGGAGGAGGAAGAAGAGTGGGAGGAGGGAGAGGAGGAGGAGGAAGAGTGGGAGGAGGAGGAAGAGGAGGAAGGAGAGGAGGAGGAGGGGGAGGAAGAGGAGGAGCAAGAGGAGGAGGAGGAAGACGAGTGGGAGGAGGAGGAAGAGGAGGAAGAGGTAGAGTGTGAGGAGGGGGAGGAGGAGGAGTGGTGGGAGGAGGGGGAAGAAGAGGCGGAAGGAGAGGAAGAGGGAGAGGAGGAGGAAGAAGAGTGGGAGGAGGAGGAAGAGGTAGAGTGTGAGGAGGGGGAGGAGGAGGAGTGGTGGGAGGAGGGAGAGGAAGAGGAGGAGGAAGAGGAGCAAGAGGAAGAGGCGGAGGAGGAAGAGTGGGAGGAGGGGGGAGGAGCAGGAGGAGTGGTGGGAGGAGGGGGAGGGAGAGGAGGAGGAAGAGTGGGAGGAGGGGGAGGAGTAGGCGCAGGCGCAGGCAGCGGCTGAGCTTCCTGGGCGGAGCTTTGCGGTCCTAGAGGCAGACTCTGGTGAGAAGGAGTGAGCTCTCTCCAGGCACTTGGGATGTGGCAGGGCCCCTGTTTTCGCCGGCTGTGCCCCAGCAGCTGCCTTGGGTCTTGCCTCTCCAGGCCGGGCAGCTCTGGGGGGAGGGCAGGGGACTCACCTTCCTCCAGACTCGGTCAGGAGTCTCCCATGTCAGCTTTATCCATGTCTTCCATCACTTTGCCCAGGCTCCTTCCCCTCCTCCCTCCCCCAAAGTCAATTAAGCACCTACTGTGTGCGGCTGTGTGCTGTACCAAATGCTGTGGATACAAATGAGAGAAAGAGGCAGGCCTTGCCCTCGGGGAGCTTACAGTCTAATCACATTAAAAAATAGTATTTTTTTTGACAGTCCAAGAAAGAAGGGAAAAATCCACACAACCCATCAGGACGCTGAAAAAGTCCAGAAACACACAGAATCTTCCACTTTTGCTTTCTGCGCGTGTCCCTCTGTCCACTGATGTTCCAGCTGCGGCACGCCTTCTTTCCCTGGCTCTGCCGCCTTCCCTCCGCAGGTCGTGGAGCTCTTCCCAGGATTCTCCATATCCGTCACACACGTCATTTCCTAGACCTTCATGGACCGTGTTGTTTTACCGTCGCCTAGTCGATGGGCTCTACCGTGTTTCCAGTTCTTTGCTCTCACAAAAAGTGCTGCTGTCGATATTTCAGAGTCTGAGGGGGCTTTCTTTTTATCGATGGCTTCCTTGGGGTGTAAGCCCAGTTGTGGAGTCTCTGGGTCACAGGGTGTGGCCATCATAGTCACTTTACCTGTGCAGTTCTACCAACAGTGTATTAGTCTGCATCTCTATCTCCCTGTAGTCCCTCCAACACTGACTCTTAACCTGGGGCTGTGAATTTGTGTTTTAATATTGTCCTTTGTAGTCCTCTGCTTTTTAATTTGTGTATTTAAGGACCTCCCGAAAGGGTCTGTGGCATCCTCAGCCGCGTACTCGAGCGTTAGTGATGTAACCCTCTGGCATCACGGCTTCTCCCACTCGCGCCTCCTTTGGTATCCAGCTCTGCTGATGCCTCCCCTGTTGTGCAGTGCCTTTCCCAGGGTGTCCGCGTCTTTCTTTTCTACGGAACTGCCCTTGCACGCATGGTCTTGAGGAATGCAGGGACTGTCGGATCTTTGTACTCCTTGCCTCCCGTGCTTTGTGCACTGCCTGGCACGCAGTAGGTGCTCAGTAAAGGCCATTGAGTGATGGGGTTCCTCCCCACCCCTGACCCTGCCCTGATCCCAGGTCTCCCATCCTAGGCCATCTGAGCTGGCGTGATGTTGTCCCGGGCAGTGGACGCCTTGGGCAGGCGGGGGAAGCTTTGGGTCTCCTCTCGGATGGAAAGCAGTGATGGGGACGTCCCTGCCAGCTATTCAGGAAACATACTGGTAGCCCCGCCCCACAGGGCCCCCCCCACCCCAGGTAGAGCAGAGGAAGCCAGGGGCACAGCAAGTGTGAGTGGTAGAGCTGGCCGGAGCAGTCAGGCCAGGGGGGACGGGGTGCCACGAAGTGGAAGCAGAGCGTTCTGAGCTATATCAGAGGAGCATCATCTGTCCCCGGAGCCTCATGGGAAGGGTCCCTTTGTTCGATGTTTGGGGCCAGGCTGGGATCTGGGGCCTCAGCCTCTGGGCCCCCCTTTTGGAGTTGACAGCCATCCGAGTGGGTCTCGGGGCTCAGGCAGCCCCTTTGGTGCATACTGTGGCCTCTCTGGCCTCTGCTCGGGGGTCATGGGGAGCTCGGCAGCTGAAGCAGCGAAGTGAGCCCCACGTGGGGTCATTGTGAGGTGTCCCCTGCTGGCCTCGGACCCTTCTGAGGGGTTTCTCTTGCATTTCTGGGTCCTAAACTGCAGCTGCCAAAGACCAGCATGGGCGCCCGTGTGGTCAGGTGGAGCTGTGTGCATGCGTGTGTGTAATGTATGTGTACACGTACATGTGTGTGAGGAGGGTCTCTCCCCTGACTCCTACTGTGAGGTGCCCAGCATAACGTTGTGCACAGCGCCCACCTTGCTCATGGGGATGCCTCCATCCTCTCCCAAGCCCATGTGCCGTGCTCGTCCTCCGAACGCATCCTCTGAAGGCACCCAGCATCTCCACCTGGTTCCATTGGGGGCAGGATAGAGTTAGCCATGAATCCTGTCCAGACCCGCTCCCTGGCCCATGTCGTCCCCTCCCCTTTAGGGGTGGAAGTCTGGCCAGAACCAAGATATGTGAACTGTTGGTGCCAAGTGGTCTTATCCTATTTTTCATAGGCACCTTTTGTTTTCATGTCACTGGTTAGGACTCGCTCCCTCCCCCAAACCTGCCCCACGGCAGAGTAATAAATGAGGAGGGAGAGGGGCCTCAGAGACCAGCCGCCCCTGAGGTCTGACCAAAGGAGTGCTTCTCTGCAGGGGAACATGGTGTGTTCTCTGGGGCCAGCATTCTGGGACCCGCCTGAGTCACTCCCCTCTCTTGGCCTGTTTCCTTGACTGTGAAATGGGTGCGATAACAGCCCCTACCTCCCAGGCTGTTGTGAGGACCAGGCCCTGGCACGTAGGGGGTGACATTTTCTCTGCTATTGGGGTTTCACGCCGTTCAGGTCCTGCAGTGGCCGCGGTGGCTGGCGTGGCTTTCCTGCAGCTGCTCCCCCCTTTGCATGGCTCCTGCCCTGCGCTTGCCTGGGAGATTTGTGGCTGGCCCCCGCCTCGGAACTGCAGATCCTCAGCGTGGGATTTGTGTTCCCCCTGTATTTGACTTTTTGCCATAAAGATTCAGATCATACATGGAAAAGAGAGAGAGAGAGGAGAGAGAGAGAGAGAGAGAGAGAGAGGAGAGAGAGTGTGTGTGTGTGTGTGTGTGTGTGTGTGTGTCTGTCTGTCTCAGGCCTGGAGTCGGGAAGATCCGAGTTCAAATTCAGCCTCAGACCAGCTGTGTCTCTCTGGGCGTGTAGCCCTGTTTGCCTCAGTTTCCTCAAAGGTAAAATGCAGATAACAGCCCCTACCTCCCAGCGTCGCCAACCTGAAAGTGCTGTGGAAGCGCTTGCCACGATTCGTGGTCGTGATCATTATTATTAGGATGATGACCACGCGTGGCTCCTGGAGGAGACCAGTGTCACGGGGTGGGGGCCTGGACGTGTAGGGCAGGTGCGGACAGGCCCCTGGGTTTATGGAGTCTGGGCATGGCCAGCCCTGGGCTTCGGTGACCCCGGGCCCTGGCTTGGCCCTGGTGGTTGGTTCGTGGTCGGGGGTCTGGCCCCTGGCAGGCGCTCAGGCTGTCGGGGTGTTGGGGCAGGACATTCCTCGGGCCCTGACTGTGACCGGTCCGTAGGCATAGAGCCAGGGAAGCGCGGGAGACTGGCTTGGGACCAGAATCCTTTGCCATAGAGTGCAAGACACATGCCAGATGTGTGTGAGCGTGTGTGATTGTGTATGCACACATGCATGTGTGTGTGGTGTGGGTGTGTGCACTCGGGTGTGTACGTGTGTCAGTGTATGTGGGTGGTTCAGGCGTGTCTGTGCGGGCATGTGATATGGGGGTGTACACACGTATGGGGTGGAATGTGTGTGCTTATGTGTAACGTGGGCATGCATACGTGTGTGCCCATGTAAGTGTGTGTGGTTAGGGTGTGTCTCTACAGATATGTGATGTGGGGTGTACACATGTGTGGTGTGGGCATGCCTGCATGCCCATGTGCAACATTGGCGTGTACACACATGTCCGTGTAAGAATGTGGTGGTGGGGTGTCTATACATGCATGTGACGTGGGGGTATACACACGTGGTGCGGTCATTCCCATGTGCCTATGTGTAATGTGGGTGTGTACATATGTGTGTCTGTGTGAAGGTATGGTTAAGGTGTGTCTGTACACGCCTATGATATGGGGAGTGTGCACACACGTGCGGGCATGCTGTGTGCCCATGTGCAACATTGACATGCACACACGTGTCCGTGTAAGAATGTGGTGGTGGGGTGTCTATACATGCATGTAATGTGAGGTATACAGAGTGTGGTGCGGTCATGCCCTTATTCCTATGTGTAATGTAAGCGTGCACACATGTCCGTGTCCATGCATGTAGTGAGGCTGTGTCTGATGCAGGTGCACACCTGTGTGTGAGTGCGTGTGGATACACCCAGCTGCAGGTCCCTGCACCTTCTCCAAGGACGCCAGCATGGATGACAGGCGCTGCCCCGTGGCAGGTGCCCATGTGCGGCGTGCTCTGGCTGCCATGGCCCCTTCACTGACGAGTATCCATCTCCCTCTCTTCCCTAGGCATTGTTCAGGAAAATGAATACGAGAACGACGTGGAAGACTTCGGGGAGCTCCGGCCCAGGACGTTCTCCAGGAAGCGCAGCTGGCGCTGGAGATACTGATGCCCCCCCCGGGCGGCGCCCTGCCACGTGGCTGTACATAGTGTAAAGAAGGCGCCGCCAGGCCTCTGCTTCTGGCCTGTTCGTTGCTCTGTCGTTCTCTGGGGCCCAGGCACTTGTGTGCCCACCCGCCTTCGCCACAGAGCAAGGGGATTTCCCTCACCAACCTCCCACAGGCCTGGCTTCCCGGCAGCCCCGGGGGGGGCTCCTGCACCAAGGCGTCGCTGGCCCAGAGATTGGTGGAGATGGGTGGCTGGCCCTCGTGGCCCGGCCCGGCCCCTTGGAGCAGTCCCTGGTGCTGCCCTTCCTGCCCTGTGGCGGCGGCACGTGAGCACGACTTGTACATAGGAGGCGCCACATGCCCGAGGCGTGCTGCACTGTTCCTGCACACATGGATGCTCCGTGGGCGGGGGCAGGAGCTGTGCCCTCCTGGCTCTCCTGATACCTGTCTCCACCTGCCGCCCCCCAGGACCGCCCCGCGGGCTGCACGGAGCCGTGGGGAGAGGGTCAGGGGCCCGACGTTCTCTCTTAGGCAGCCCTCTCTGGAAACAAGCCTGCCTTTCCTCGGTCTCGACAGCCAGCCTCAGTTTCTTATGCTGACCGAGATGCGCCTACCTCAGAATTAGGTCAGGAGTGTCCTTCCCCATGTCCTGTGGAGGGCTTGTTCTCTGTGCCCATTCCCCGGGGAGGTCCCACGCCCGGAGGCTCAGCCTGCCTTACAGCGGTCGCCCTCCCCTGGTACTAATGAAGGCGAGCCCCCGCCGCCCTCTGATGGAGCTACACCTCCTCCTCTCCAGCCGCCCTCTGTCCAGCCCTGCGTCCATCCGTCCGTCTGTCCGGTGCAGGCTTGGATGATGAAGGTGGCCCACCCTTCGGAGCTCTTGAGGAGAGGAAGCAGCTGGCCTGCACCGCCGCCCGGCCTGCCTTGAGTGCCCGAAGGGAAGGGAGGCCGCGTGCGCCCTCAGCTGCCCTCTGTCACCGTCACCGCTGTCTGCCACGTCCTTTCGCTTTCTCTTTGCTGCCCATGCGGGGCCGCTGGCCCTTCCGCCCCTGCAGCCGTCTTTTTCTGTTCTTCACTTTTGTTCCAGATGTTTTTATAGATCTCACTTGCCAAAACCAAAACCAAACAAAAATATTGTTGTCTATCAAGTTTTTATAAATCCAGATGGTTTCTCTTAACCTGCCAGTCTTCTATGCTTATTGACTGACGGTCTGGGTCTGGGTCTGGGTCACTCTCCGAGGGGGCCTGTTAAACCCTAAGTGTCCACCCTGGTCAGTGGGCGGGGGCGTCTTCTGTCCTGTGTGCAGACCCAGAACCTTCCTGGGTCACTGAGCCAACAAAGGACTCGGACTGCCCAGCAGCCCCCTCCTCCTGGGCCCCGTCACCTCAGCACATGTGCCACGGGAGGAGGCCAGGGTCACCCAGGGCGGCCCCCCTTTACTGCTCAGCCGAGGGCCCCAGAGTGGGTGCTGGGTGGCCCAGCATCCCTCCCGGGGATGGCTTCTGAGTCTGGAGCGATTGGTTTTCCCACCTCTGAGAAGTAATTGTTTGCTGCACAAAAGGAAAGCCTCTTGGTGTCTGAGGCCTGATCTGGGGGATGGATGGCTGTGTGAAATTCAAATTAACCTTTCAGAATGTTTAAGAAGTTGGTAACATTTTTACATCTGGAGTTATTAAACCTTAAAGCTGCACAAACACTTTGGGGAATGCTGCATATGATATATATGTATGCACATACAGAAGCAAATACACACACACACACACACACACGCATGCACACACTGATGATACTGAAGATAACAGGTGTCTATCTGGCCTTGCCAACAAGATGCCCTGGCTGACTCGCCCTGACAGGGGGCCGCCTCTACCTTAGTAGAATGGCTTGGAGCTGGGGGAGCAGTTCTTCTCAGATGCCTGGCCGGCAGTGGAGGCCTCTGCCTGAGGCTGGACCAGGGACAAAGGCCTCCCAGCCATGGAGGGAAAGGTTCGGAAGGATTGTGCATCTGCCCCAGTGTTCCATGGCTCGGTTAATTTGGGGGAACGACCCGTGGGAATAAGTTTCACTGCTTCTTAAAGAAAAGGGCTAACAGTGGTAATTATGGGCAGGGCGGAGAGAGGCGGGGCTTCTGGGGGTGGGGCTTTTTCCCAGGAAGATCTGACGGCCTGCCTCCCAGACGCTAAGTACGGCGGCTGCGCAGCCCTTTTCTTCCCCTGTGAGGGAGGGTCTCGCCTGGTGACCTGGTGCCAACGGAATGATTTGCGCAGAGCTCACAGTCAGAGGGAGCGTCCCTCGTTGTCACCTGCTGCGGAGGCAGGACCGGCCCTGGCCTTTGCCCCCAGACCTTCCGAGGACAGCTGCCTCAGGCTTCCCTGAGCAAGGAGCACCTGGGCAGCGGGTCTCTGCCCACCAGGACTAGGCCCTGGGCGCTCAGTAGACACTCATCTTCGGGGATCCCTCGGGCGTGTGTCACGAGGCAAGGAAAGTATCTGACTTCAACTGCCGGGGGCCTGATCCGGCTCCAGGGACAGGGGAGGGAACAGACCGATCCCCTTCTCACTTGGGACACCCACGGGGTCTGTCATGCCAGGACCACTGAGGGGAGGAATCCCAGCCCTGGTCCTTCCGTCCCTGAGCCACCTCCCCAAGAACTCCTGGGATGAAAAGTGTTCGTCTGCCGGTGCTTGGAAACCCTCTGCCTCGGTCCCTGGCCAGCGCTCCCTCGCCGGTCAGGCCCTTGCTCATTCTGCTGCAGCCCCTGTGTACCTTCAGCGCTCATGGGGAGGGGAAGGGCTGTATTTGGGTCATAGGGTCTTGGCAGTTGAGCTGGAAGGGACCTTAGAGACAATCGAGGCCGACGTCCTAATTTTACAGGTAAGGAAACACTAAGTGGCTTGCCCAGCTGGGGTCACAACCAGTAAGTGTTCAAGGCAGGATTTGAACCCAGGTCTTTCTGTCCTCTAAGTCCAGCATTTTATCCACTACTCCACAGGGACTCAATTTTGAGACAAATGTGACAAAAACAAAAGGGATGAACATTTTTTTTTAAAAAAAGCTACATTCTCCCTCCCCCACCCCCAACCTATACCTCTCTGTCGTCTCATCTCATGGTGCTCCTGGAGACATGGAGGCGCCTTCATCTTGTTCCCCTTCTCTGATGGATCCTGGGCTAGGAAGAAGAGCAGGAAGGCTCCCGGCGCTCCAGGGCTACTTCAGGCCGTCTCTGTGGCCGGCCCTCAGCAGCGCCCTCTCCCTCCACCCCAACCCCTGTGCTGTCCGTGAGGATGTCAGCGCACAGGGCGATGTCCCCTCCAGCCCCTGCATGGCATTCGCCTCACCTATACGGCCGCCTCGGATGTGGGGCGCTCGGTCACCACGCCCCATCACCTCGACCTCCCGGATCCCGAATCCCGACCTCCCCCGTCTCCAGCTCCACGCGCAGGATATTGAGAGGGTCCGTTCAGTCCACGCGTGTCGATGGACTGACAGCAGCTAGCGGGAATAGGCTCCAGCGGAGGCATTCTAAGACCGTCGGGTCGGTCCTCCTTTGCCAGAGTCCACTTTCTCTTGTCTCCTGTCGGTACTCGTGGGCGACTGTAGTATAGACTGGGGGGGGGGGTCGTTTGTACCAACTATTTTTATTACCTTAGTAAAAACACCTCACTGAAAACTAATCAAGTGTGGGTCATTTGTTGATATCAATAAACAGGGGGAGCACACCTGCAGAAGCTCCCTTTAGAGATGAGGAAACTGAGGCTGGGGAGTGAAGTGAGTTGTCCAAGGTCATCCAGGTAGTAAGCATCAGAGACAGGATTTGAACCCAGGCCATCTGACTTAGGCTCTTGCCATTGTACACACTTTCTCTGGAACTTTTGCATTATAAATGACCTCCATCCTTAGGCCTAAGGCTAGATAACGCTCCCCTCCCGCCTGCTCCCCAGGGAGCAGTCCCCAACCCACCAAGGCTTTTGTGGTCCCTGTGGAGGCAGGAACCTAATTGTGCTGGTATTTTTTATCCAGGGCTGAAGGACAGACCAAGGGGAGCACCCACCAGGGTGGGAGTGGGTTCTAGACTTCTGGAGCCTGCAGGGGACGGCTGCTTGGGTTTCCTGGCAGCTCAGTTGCGGCACGGAGTCACTTAGCATTCTGCCCGGTGCTGAGCCAGGTGCCTCCTGGCTTCACAGATGGGAGGTGGGGAGGGGAGCCCCAGGGCATTTTTGTTTTCCGGGGCACAGAACCAGAGAGGCTGCTAAACTGGCTTCTGCCTGGGGGCTTTCATTCTGGGACCGTTTCTATTCTGGTTGTTAAAAGCAAGGTTTTCCAGGAAAGTCACCTGGGGCGGTGGCAGCTCTAATTGAGATAGCAAACAGGAAAGCGTTTGGGAAAGGGTACAAGCCTTGTGCCAGTGCTGGCTGCCTCATCACCCCAAGCTCGAGGGGTTGAGGCATGGGCACCTCCCTGGCATGAGCACTTGCTCCCCTGACTTCTCATGTCTATGCCTTTCCTATAAATGCTCCCCTTTTTAAAGGAGGGTCTCATCCTGCTCTTTGCTCCCCTGGAATCTCAGGCAATGCGGGGACAAATCATCCCCACTGGGCCACTTTCCATTGCCCTCTGGGTCAGCCGGGGCTTCCCAGATCTCACTCCATGATTCACAGAGGCTTTGGCATTAGGCTGGGACTTTGGTGCCTTTATTTGGAGGACAGAGTTGGGACTGAAAGCAGGAAGGACGGATGGCCTGCCAGGCGGATGGAGCCCATCCAGGACAAATGCTCTCATTTTGCTGGAGGGTGGGGTAGGGGTGGCATCCTTGTTGCCAGGGAGGCAGGCTTAGGATCCAAATTCTGGTCCCACTGATTGGTCTGCACCAGGGGGCTTTTTGGCTCAGTTTGAACCTGAAATCAGGGCCAGCAGCGGGCAGGGAAGTTGGCACCTGGGGCTTTAGCAGACCTTCCCCTTCTCTTCCATCCACTAGGACTGCCTGACATTCCACCCCCCACCCTCAGCTTCCAAACAGGCTCTGTCTCTGGCTGTGGAGGAGGGAGAAGAGAAGGCTAAGTTGAGGGAGAAGCCCCTCCTCAGTCTGCATTCATGAGAGAAGGCTCAGGGAGGAGCCTGGGAAGGACGTTTCTCCGGGAAACCCAGATGTCATGTCTACAGGCAGGCAGCAAGGGAGAGGTTTGTGCCCAGGCAGAAAGCAAGAAACAAAGGGGCTCCTTGTTGGCATCGCGTATCGAGGGGCTACTGGAAAAGAGGTGCAAGCGGCTAACTTAGCCTGAGAAAGTGGTCTGGCCTTGAGCTCCGCGTTGCCCGGAAGTTGTTCTTACACTGTCTAACAATGGTCACCAAAACCTGTCAGGCACCAGAGAGCGGCTCTGCCCTGATAGGAGGAACGCGTCAAGCAGAATACGCTGAGATCCTAACGAGAGCAGGTTGGTACGTGGGCTTCCAGGTCTGCAAGCACTTTGCAGACGTTATTTCATTTGAACCTTGCAGCAACAGCCTCCAAAGGTAGGTGCTATTATTACCAACCCCGTTTCATAGATGAGGAGGTGGAGGCAGGTCAGATGACTTGTCCAGGGTCACAAGCTAGGAAGTATCCGTGGCAGGATTTGAACTCAGGGCTTCCTAATCCCGCTCACCCACTATGCCATCAGGCTTTCTTAAAGAGATGTTAGATATCTTGCCCGTAATCATGCCACTAGTAAGTGAGAAAGGCTGGACATGGGCCAACGTCTTCTTGCCCTGGAGTCCAGCTCTCCTGGAGTGCATCATATCATACAGCCTGCTCATCCCCCAGCATATGGCTGGGTTCAATCTGCAAGCATTTATTAAGCACCTACTATGTGCAAGATGCCAGTGCTAGGTGTTGAGGCACAGAGACAAGAACAGACTCGGTCCTGCCCTCCAGAGGTTCGATGATGTCGGGGGAGGTGGGGGAGAACCCCCTGTAAAACCACAGAAGTAAAGCCAGCACGTGTGCCCGAGGCAGACGCCAAATCATTTGGCAGGAGTTGGGGATCAGCAGAGGCTTCCTGTGGGAGGGAGCCCTTGAGCCAAGCTCCGAAGGAAAGGCGGGATTCCGAGAACTGAAAAGGAGGAGGAGGCACTGTCCAGTCGGGAGCTGGAAGGCTGTGTAAAGGCTGTGCATAAGGAGCAGCCGGAGGCCTGTCCTGCTGAACAGAACATGGGGGCGGGACAACGTGCGATAAGGCCGGGAAGGTTGACTGAGCACGGTGGCTGCATTAGCTCGGAAGAAGCACTCGGGGCGTCTCCCTCCAAAGTTCCTCCTTAATCGCCGCCTCCTTCTCCCTCTGCCCACTCACCTCTCACGGAGTCTGTCCCTTGTCTAAAGCCCAGGCTGGTCATGCCACTCTCTCCTTCTGGAAGGCACCTCTCCCACTTTGGAGTCACCAAGCATAAGTGAAAGGGTGGGTGGTGGTTGGGGAGGGGCAGGACTAGACATGTTGGGCTCTGAGGCCTGCTTAGTGACCGCTGTGACTCCCAGCTCGTGCTCTGAGAGAGCAGGTGCCTTGTGACCTATCAGTTACTTATCCATCCGAGTAGCCTGCTGACTCTCCCAGGCCCGTGTGTGACAGCGACTGGCCCCCAGGTTCAACAAGCGTCTAGTGGGTATGGCCTGAATATACTAAAAAATTACCCCGAAATGCAAAATCTTCATATGATTGATAAGCTCAGACCTCTATTTTCCCCATAAATTAGCTTTGTTCCCTTAGTCATAATCTTTGCCCCCATTCACTATTAATATTCATGTGATTTATTTTATTTTTTCCACTTAATAGTATATTATTTTTTCCAATTACATGTAAAGTTTTCAACATTCTTTTTTGTAAGATTTTAAGTTCCAATTTTTCTCTCTCTCTCCCTTTCCTCTCCCCTCCTAAGGCAGCATGCAATTTGATACAGGTTATGTGTACAATCATGTTAAACATATTTTCACATATTATATTAGTTCCACATTTCCATATTAGTCATGTTGTGAAAGAAGAATGAGAACAAAAGGGAAAAATCACAAGAAAGAAAAACAAAAAAAAGTGAAAATACTTGCTTTGATCTGCATTCAGAATCCATAGTTCTTTCTCTGGATGTGGATAGCATTTTCCATCACGAGTCTTTTGGAACTGTCTTCAGTCGTTGTATTGCTGAGAAGAGTTAAGTCAATCATAGTTCATTGTCACACAATGTTTCTGTTGCTATGTCAACTTTCTCTTGGTTCTGCTCATTTCACTCTGCATCAGTTCATTTAAGTCTTTCCAAGTTTTTCTGAAATCTGCCTGTTCATCATTTGTTGTAGCACAATATTATTCCATTACATTCATATACCACAACTTGTTCAGCTGTTCCCCAGTTCAATGGGCATTCCCTCAATTTCCAATTCTTTGTCACCACAAAAAGAGCTGCTATAAACATTTTTGTATATGTGGTTCCTTTTCCCTTTTTTATGATCTCTTTGGGATACAGATCTAGTAGTGCTATTGCTGGATCAAAGGGTGGGCACAATCTTTTATAGCCTTTTGGGCATAATTCCAAATTGTTCTCCAGAATGGCTGGATCAGTTCATAACTCCACCAACAATGCATTAGTGTTCTAATTTTCCCACATCTTCTCCAACAATTATAATTTTCCTTTTCTGTCATATTAGCCAATCTGATAGGTATGTGAGATGGTACCTCAGAGTTGTTTTAATTTGCATTTCTCTGATAAAGTGAGTTAGAGCATTTTTCCCTATGACTATAGATGGCTTTAATTTCTTTATCTGAAAACTGCCTGTTCACAGCCTTTGACCATCTATCAACTGGGGAATGACTTCTATTATAAATTTGGCTCAGTCCTCTATCTAGTTGGGAAATGAGGCCTTTATCAGAAATACGGGCTGTAAAAATTGTTTCCCAGCTTTCTTATTTCCCTCTAATCTTGGTTGCATTGGTTTTGTTTATGCAAAGCCTTTTAAACTTCATGTAATAAAAATTGTCCACCTTGCACTTCATAATGTCATCTATCTCTTGTTCAGTCACAGATTCTGCCCTTTTCCATAGATCTGACAGGCAGACTAGGCCTTGCTCTCCTAATTTGCTTATGGTATCACCCTTTATGTCTAAATCATGTCCCCATTTTGACCTTATCTTCATATATGGTGTGAAATGTTGGTCAATGCCTACTTTCTGCCATACTGTTTTCCAGTTTTCCCAGCAGTTTTTGTCAGATAGTGAATTCTTATCCCAGAAGCTGAGGTCTTTGGGTTTATCAAACAGTAGATTACTATAGTCATTTACTACTGTGTCTTCCGTACCTAACCTATTCCACTGGTCCACCACTGTATTTCTTGGCCAGTACCAAATAGTTGGGTTGATTGGCACTTCATAATGTAGTTTTAGCTCTGGTATGACCAGGCCACCTTCCTTTTTGTTTTTTCACTAATTCGCTTTATATTCTTGACCTCTAGTTCTTCCATATAAATTTTACTATTTTTTCTAGCTGTATAAAATGAATTTGGCAATTTGATTGGTATGGCACTAAATAAGTAAATTAATTTAGGTAGAATTGCCATTTTTATTATATTAGCTCAGCCTACCCATGAACAATTG